TACATAGTTACAGCACTGGAGAAGCTCTTCTTAAACTGCTGTTAATATTGGACAACATCAAATGGAATCGAATCAGATTGTTTTTACACATGGCACATGTTGATGACTTACACTCAAATGTGAAAGAAACAAAATAATGGTCATCGATCTTTTTTGTTCGCTTTTTACCTTTGTAAATTTGTTTTGGTAGGGGAAATCAATGATATGTTGTAAAAACATATTTCTGGAGTATTTTCTTCTTTCTTTGAGCTTTGAAATTAACAGATTTGTCAACAATAACTAACCAAATATTCTCTAAAAAGATTCTGAATTCAGACATAAAAATGTATACTTGTTACTAATTTTTTTATAAACCGTGTATCCTGAAAAAGGGTATAAAGAGTTTCAACTTCCCATTTTTCAGTAGTAGGAATCCATCTTCCTCCATCGTATGGCGTGAACTTATGATACGTTACGTGTTTTTTCTTCTTCTTTTCTTTCATAAGCTCACATGACGATGGCTTTAAAATTCAGATTTGTTACAGAAACTAACCAAACATTTTCTAAAAGATTCTGAATTCAGACGTAAAAAATTGTAAAAGGTTCCATGGAACCATGTGTCTCGCCTACGATTATTGCTGTTAGTGTAAGAGAATAATGTTGACTGTGAAGGCAAATATCAGTATAAAATACAGAATTTTAAAAAGAATATAAAGAAATTTCTTCAGATGTTATTTCTTGATCTTGACGATTAGCTTAAGCCCAAGTTTCATAACAACTCATGAAGGTGTCAGAATATTTTAATCCCAGAATGTTTTAAACTGTAAACTAAATCAATTCAAAAGTACATTATTGAAAAATAAAATAAATTTCTTTTCAAAGTTTTGCTCACGACAATATACCTTAATCATAATAAAACCTTCCGCCAAAATTTCATAAAATTCTATGAAAGTTTGACAAATAAATTGATGTGTAAGAAAACTTCAACCCCAGACTGATGACTGGAAAACTTTAACCTTAGACTGCATTTAAAAGTTAACTGTAAAATTCCATAATGGTAAAATATAAATTAATATTTTTAAAACTTTGCTTGGGATACTGTCTTTTCGTCATAACAAATCTTCTTTAAAATTCATAAAATTCGATAAAGGTACGACAATGTTATTGATGTCTAGAAGAAACTTCTATCGACAGACTGAACCTTAATGTTGACGCCGCCGACGTCGGAATTTAGGATCGCTAAGTCTCGCTTTCGCGACATGATGTCGCAGACTCGACAAAAAGTTTCTGTTTTTCAAATGTTAATAACACGTTTCCAGAAGAGGGTATAAAGTAGTTTAACTTCCCAATACTCAGCAGTAACATATTTTCTGCTCCCATTGTATGGCGTGTACATTGATACGTTACGCTCGAGTTGAGTCTGCTTCATACCTTGACTAGTTCTAGAAACATTTGGTAGGTTGAGGACTAAACAACGAAAAAAGATATTATTTTCGTGTTTCCATTGTAAACTTTCGATTTCTATGTAGCATCATTCCAAAAACACCTGCACATGGAGTATAATATTTCTCCCCGTTAAGACGATATTCCAGGGCTTGTGTTTCCTTGATAGACGATTGCTGCTTACAAGAAAGTTATTGAACTACACAAAGATAAGAAGTTAGCAATATCCTTTAACTTTACGTTCCGCTATATAGATGATGTTCTCTCACTAAATAATACCAAATTTGGTGACTATGTTGAACGAATCTATCCCATCGAACTAGAGATAAAGGATACTACAGATACAGTTAAGTCTGTCTCATATCTTGGCTTACATCTCGAAATTGACAATGAGGGTCGGTTGAAAACAAAACTTTACGACAAAAAGATGATTTCAGCTTCCCAATTGTGAACTTTCCATTTCTATGTAGCAACATTCCAGCAGCGCCTGCATACGGAGTATATATCTCCCAACTGATACGATATTTCCGGGCTTGTATTTCCTATCATGATTTCCTTGATAGAGGATTGCTGCTCACAAGGAAGCTATTAAACCAAGAGTTCCAAATGGTGAAGTTGAAATCATCCTTTCGTAAATTTTACGGACGGAGTTGGTTGACCGTTATGGAATAACCGTTTCACAGATGATATCGGATATGTTCGTTATGTCGTAACTACAATACCCTTCCCTTTTCACGAATGTGACCTACCGAATTAGACTATTTACCGGATTTGTAAAAACATAAGCAACACGACGGGTGCCACATGTGGAGCAGGATCTGCTTACCCTTCCGAAGCACCTGAGATCACCCCCAGTTTTTGGTGGGGTTCGTGTTGCTTAGTCTTTAGTTTTCTATGTTGTGTCATCTGTACTATTATTTGTCTGTTTGTCTTTTTATTTTTGGCCATGGCGTTGTCAGTTTGTTTTCGATCTATTAGTTTGACTGTCCCTCTGAAATCTTTCGTCCCTCTTTTATCAAAGTAAAGTTAAATTTATATGTCCAGTTTAACAGAGGCAATTCTATTTTGGTTAACATTATTACCTATTTGTCTTATAGATGCCCAAATACTTTATCCTCTTGTCTTAGCTACAGTCCTGTCCTTTTTACGATTATGACATCGCCAAATACCACATATCACCGCGTAGCAATCGGTGGAGTGGGATTTTTACTTCCCATAAACAATAAGGTTTACCCGAGTTCACCTCTATTTCTTTAGTTTTTAAAGGGTCTGTGCTGCTTTTGGTTTAGTTTTATGTATTGCATTGTTTATATTTCCTTTTCCAAAGTCTCTGTTTATATCTGTTACGGTTTTGTCTATCCTATCCAAAAAACTGAATCCATTTATAACCCCCATGTTTGGTCATGATAGAGGGTTAGAGAAATCACATGTACCGATGGATGCATGAATTTGGTACTGTCTTATTCTTTATCACAAGATATGTTTCATCAAAGGTTTTTAACTTAAAGCATGGTCAACAGTTGTGCAGGTACAGATGACTTTTCCACAGTTCGAGTTCACCTTCGGTTTTCTGTTTCTCAATCTCTAGTTTTCTGTTGAGTGAAATATTTCTTTTCTTGGTTGTCATGATTGCTTCTGTCTTTAACTTCACTATTGATGTTATTACATATTTCTCAAATAAAAAGGATGCGCATCATAAAATTTTTGTTTGTTTTTACACTGTTAGCAAGATATGGAATAATGTTCATATTTTATTATTTGACAAGATTTACAATATGAAAGACATTTCAGTTTAAGACAAATAATAATACTGTTGAAAGTTATGTCGTTGGACTACTATCACCTCAACTTTCGTCCTTTCATTTTTTTACCTTGGCATTGCTTTATTTTTTACTTATGAGTTTGAATGTCCCTTTTGGTATCTTTCGTCTCTCTTTTTCAAGACAGACAACTCTTGTTTTAAAAGTCGCATTGCGAAACACCTGGCAACATTGTATTAAGGAAATTTGCTCAGTTTTGTTATTCATTCACCATTCCTTTGTGAATTAATTTTATGTTCATCTTCTTGCCAACTTGTTCCTTTATTTCTATACAACAGATATCAATACAAGGGCTTCTTGTGAGGAAAAAATGAAGACATCATTATTTAACTTTCCATTCTACTATAAAGCTAGATAGAAGCCGCACTTTCACTATATAATTCAGTTTGACGACTTTGTTGTAAGCATCCTTCCCGTTGAACTTGACATTAGAATGCAGTTAAGTAGAAAATTTGGCAAAAATAACGACAAACTTGCAAAAGTATCCCCCAACAAAAAATAACCAAAATAAAATGTCAGATTTAGCCATAGAGTTCGGGAAATTCAGACCCAAGCATATTAACCCACTAAATAGTGTGACATTCATAGCTAAGTTTGCTTCATGCTAAACCTAAAGTCGGCTGAAAACTATTTTTATATAGCATCATTCCATCAGTTCCCGCAAATGGAGCATGCAACTCCCTTGTGATTCAATATTTCAGTTCGTCAGAGTGTTCTTTGATAGTTGCTGCTTAAAAGAGGCCACTGATTGATGAAAAAAGTGAAGCTGTCTCCAAAAAGTTTTATAAACACCATAATAACATTGTAACCCCGTGTGGAATATCTAAGTCAGGGTACACTACAACTCGTACATTTCCAACTCATACTCAACCAACTCGTACTTTTACTAACTAGTACTTCTACCCATTTTTGTAGCATTGTTATGTATGATTTAATTAGATAAATCGTAAACTTAATGGTAATTTTTCTATTTAGAATTTGATGTTGTCAGAGACATGTATAGTATGCATGTCTCTGATCTAGTGGTAAATTAAGTAAATGTTTACATGTATTGCAAACATGATGGCTTTGTTTGGAATGTAGATTAAATCTCGAAAAAAGTCTTTTTTAGTTCATCTCGGTGGATTTCACCAAGCATCTTTTGGTATCAAAAAGCTATTACATGAATTAAACAAATCCAAATGTTTATACATAAATATTAGATATTTTACTGATAATAAAACAAAACAGTCAACGCATTTTACCCAATCAAACATTTACACCATATTTTTTTCTATTCATGGATAGTGATTGTAAAAGTATTCCTGAGGGTCTGGATGTGGGTTCTTCAATTCTGTATTCTTTAATTTTAAAAGCCATTTTTTCTCTATTCTTTATAGATTTGCCCATTATTCTATATCCTTTTATTTAAGCACCCCATTATTCTCTATTCTTTATTTTTTTTTTGGCCTATTTTTCTATATTCTTTATTTTTTTGGCCTATTTTTTTCTATTCTTTATTTTTTGGGGTCTATTTTTCTGTAGTATTGGTCCATTATTCTCTATTCTGTAAACCACATCCAGACCCTCATACCTGAATGTACAGACTTTGATTATGTTGATATTCAAAGTGCTGCATTTATTTCGAAATTTGTGTTTGTATCAACTTCTCTATAATCTTTTAATTAACCCCCGATTTAAAAAGTTTTAAGGTCCACCGTACTATAATGATCACACATTAGTATATTTTATCATTATAATTTCAAATCAAATTATCTATTTTTCTGTTTTTTTTTTTTTTTTTTTTTTTTTTTTTTAATTTTATATGATAGGAAATTACTTCTATATTCCATATGAATACAACTGAAAAGTGGGTAGGAGTGGGTGGAAGTATGAGTTGGTGAAAGTACGAGTTGGTGAAAGTATTAGTTAGTAAAAATCAAGTACGAGTTGGTTGAGTACAAGTTGGCAAAGGTACGAGTTGACATTAATCCTGATGGCCACAGATATGTCATGTTAGTTGTTTCTACACTCCTCTATTATGCTTTAGTTACAGGAAGGGAGACATTGGTGGGACAGGAACTTCTTTTGGATGTTTGAGTTAATCCATATTTTTTTGTTTATTGGGATTCCTAATGCTCAATCTAGTTTTTAGGTATGCTTTTTAGAATTCTGTGATTTTTGCCTTTTTCATTTGGTATGTATTATCTGTCCTTCTTTCAACATGAGGTTCTTGATTGCCCCCTTGGTATCCTCACACTTTTTTTCTATTGACAGGCAGATATTATAAAAGCAGCAAAAATAACAAAATTAAGTAAATAACATAAGATTTGAAAGTTTTATTGATAGAATATATATAATATATATTTACTTATGACCCAACATTACAGCATAATAAATATATTAACAACTATTTTGAACAAAGACGGGCATAATTGTTAACTATTTCATCAATAGACCAATCAATAATTATTCTTTTGTTTTGGATATCATTTAAAGCTTCAGGTACGAACAACATGACAGATTAACCATTTTATTGTCTTAGAGGGAGATGTAAGGTAGCTGGGCCAATTGAAAATATTTCACAACACATTTATTCAAAGGCAGTGAATCAACAGAATATAATATGTAGGTCTCATAGCAATCTGTAAGATACAAAAATCTTTATACATCCACATATCACTAATATCAAACATACATTAAAAGTCACCAAAGATGTTCTGCAACAACTTATGCCTCTTTTAATCTTGCACTAATGTGTAATTTTTACTTGCACACTATGTTTTTAAAATAGTTCCTTGCTATACTGAAAATATGAAAAACAAAATACCTTTCAGGAAGTGTATAATACCTCAATAAATAGTTTTAAAACTTGATTTTACAAAAAATATTAATTACATAAAGATAAAAGCAGAAATTACTGATATGGATTCGTGTAGTCAGATTGAGGGAAATAACTATGGTTTTATTTATTTATAAAATAATAACTTTGTTTTTTTTTACTATATCTGACCTCTGCCTTCACATTATGCAATTATTTTCTAATAGACAACAATGAATTTCTTTAAGAAGTTTTGGAAAGAGACCTACACATTTAGAAAAGGTTATCCAATACTAAAAACTTTGGAATACAACCAATGCAAATCATATATTAAACTAAGTTTATCTGTATTAAAAATTGGAAAGAGTTTCTATCTAACATAATGCTAAAATATTTGATTCAGTTATTGTCAAATAAACACACTTAAAACAAATCACAAAAATATCCTAGAGATTCCTCATGCAAGACTTGCCCTACCTAATAACAATTTGTGGAGACAGTTCTATTGTGTGAACATTAAAAGTGATCAATATATAAACAAAATATAGATATGCAAGAGATATTATATAGAATAAATGTCATGCTTAATGAACAAATATATAAGAAAGACAAAGGTACAATGTATAATACCAAACAAATAATCTCTATTTCAATTTTGTTTTCTAGTGAAAAAAATTTTTGTTTTGGTCAATTCTAAATTAACTTTTTATGATGTTGAATATTTTCATCAACTAACAAACTATCAATATAGTTGTTTGTTTTGATGAAATAAAACAATATGATCCCTTTTATATCATCAAATGTGACAAAATATAACTTTTATCATTAAGTTTTAAATAATCAGAAATAGTGTTCTATGTTTTTCCTATTTATGGAAGCCATTCTTGACCACTGAAATTGGAACCATCTAAGAGACAACCTAATTACCTGGCAAGAAAAAACATTAACTACAGGTTAAACACATCCAGAGTCTTGTAACTACAGGTTAAACACATCCAGAGTCTTGTATTAAGAGTGCTCACTATATCAGGTAATTCTTAATTGACTTTTTAGAGTTATATCATCTACCATCTCATACATGGAAATTGCACTCCTTAACACATCTGGATCTGCCTAGTTTTAACTAGTTTACATAATATCTATAAATAATATTAAATTTTTCAGGAAAAGATGAAACTTCTTATTGCACTCAATACTGGCCATTATCTAATAACTGAAGTTTGGTTTACTACTTAGAGGAGGGTTTATGCCTGTAAATGGTAAAGAAATAAGTTATAGTTTTGTGAAGAGAAACTTGGTTGAATAACAATGTACCACACATCAGTGGCTGTTCTGCAACATAATCTGTCTGATTTTACCATTGACAAAGCAGTTAACAATATTTTACATCTAATAAACAATTGATTAAGTTTTGAAGAGACATGAAAACCAGAAAACATTTAATAATGAATAAACCCCAATCCTAGATGAATGGTTTCTCTACACTAATGATCACATGGTTCATCATGTGACGTTTGTTGTTCAGCACCGTGTTTACAGGAAATAAAAAGATCTGGGCTATATTAATACACATAAAGAAATTTGGGTCACAAACACAATATTCACAATTGTACATAATTTGCCAATTTATTTGTACATTATGCACAATTTCATTAACAGATCATATTTCAAAATAACCTGGAGACAATAAAATTCACAATAATGTTTCTTTTCAGATTACTGCAGCTTATTTATACAAGTTCTCAGGTTAACCCAAAGTAAAAATATGTTACCTACCAATGTCTAAGTGAAAGCTTTTTATAAAAGGTACAAGTCGTTGGTCAAAAGTTTCTAACCCCAATGCTTTTTTCAACCTTGACATGCATTTTTTTGTTTGGCTAGTGTGCCTATCCTATGCCTTAGAATGCATCACACATACTCGTGTATGATACTGATTTTGGTTTTGAGTTGAACCCATATCCTCAGCGTTTTCCCATCCATTGTAAATTAATGTCAAGGTTACAAATGGTTTCTACTTTATGTTCATGATTTGATTAAAAAATTATTTTGGGAAAATGTCCAGTAGTTAGAAAAGGCTGTTTTCATGGCTGGTAGTCATGGCAAACATGTAGCTTTCATCTTAAAGAGCCTGATGCCAAACAGAATTGGTACGTTTGCACCAATCAACATTTGAAATGGAGTTGAAAGCGAATAAAAGAAATTGAGCAATGGCCAAATAATAAGTTTTGCTCCCTTTGTAACTACATTTGGATTGATCATCAAAAGTACTAAAATTTAGACATTAAAAACTAAAAATTACTTCAAACTTGTTGCTATTCAATATCAGTCGAAACAAATTTCATCTTGCATAAGTGGTACAAATAATACCCTCAGCAATACCATCTGTCAAGACTCATACATGCTTTTAAAACTTTGTTGCAAAACCTAATGTTTTATCTGTTTGTTTTCGGAGAAAAAAATTGACCAATACTATTAACTTTCTGAGTGAGAAAAAAAACTGCCCGTATTTTTACACACTATTTGGCATGTCAAGTTATGTCATTACAAAAGTTTAAATTGCTGGAAGTTGGCAACTTTGACTTACTACTTTTAAGGGGGAACATGGTAGTTTAGTTTAAACATATTTTATTGTACCAAACAAATGGATTAGACACAAGTTTTTCAACTTAGTTAGGAACATGGTAACACCTTACTAGTTACAGATTCTAAGATCCAAAATTAAAAAATATAGGGAACAAATTACATTTCATTGAAAAAGAAACATTGCATGTAGAAAGCCTAAAAGCAAAATCATTAATATCACTTGTAAAATGATGTGGTCCCTTTGATAAAACTGCTAGCCATAAATAAACTCCCTTCTCTGTAAAATATCAGTATAATATTGGAAAAATAGAGGAGCATAAAAGAAGATTTAGTGATCGGACATTGCAGATGCATATATGGACAGTCTAATGAAACATACTATATGAATATGCAGTTTGCCAAAGTTTATACATGTCCTGTTATAAATTTTAGAGTATAGCAATACCCTGCATTCCTTTCCTACATATTCTGTAAGTTACTCCCTATATCATCTAATGAAACATTTCATTGCCATAGAACTAATATTCGGAATTTTATATCAAAATAAATATATTGGCACTTCATTTAAAGAAGGAAATATTTGGCAAATGTTCCAGTATACATATATCACCTTGCTCTAGGCTAAAATTAAAATAAGTGTTTGTTTCTTTTTAGCCAACCTACCAATAAAACTGACCTTACCCAATTTGTAAATTCCCTTTTCAGTTAGTAACATATGTTTTCATCATTTTTTTTATTACCGAATTCTGACTAGCCCTGTTACAAATTGCGATGTACATTGCTGTCCTTTGTGTTTTTTTTGTTCAGAGAGAGGAGAGAGGGAGAGAGAGAGAAATATATACAGTAATGTCTCCAGAAATTTTGAAAATGCCTGTTTGACAATGGTTGCATTAAACATTTACATGCAGAAAATAAATCTCCTGATTGTTTTGCATTATATAATCACAAAGTTTACAAATAATCGGGAAAATATAATACAAATACTATTAGCATTAATGTTTGACTAGTGTAGTACAGCTCCATGTCATTTTAAGATTTCAATCCCAAAAATACAACCTATAAATAAATAAGATGAAATGATCAATTATGTATGAATGAATTATGATAAAGCGGACCTCTTTCAAAGATACTAACCGTGTGACAAACAATCTATCAGCCCAATATAGATATGTGGATTATTCATATATTAAGAATGTGATAGCAAGTTTTATTTTCGAACTTTACAATAGAAGTGATGCTTGTAGTCTATTGTACAAAATTTCAACTGTTGTAAAATTATATATATATACTTAATTCTGACAAAAGTTGATAAAACATGGAAAAATTGGTGAGAAATACCTCTCTAAAAATCTCTAGTCCTAGTAAAACTTGTTTTATAAATTAACAAGATATCATATTTCATTATATTTACTGCTGAAATGCTGAATGTTTGTCACACAGTTTAACAATAAGTAAAAATACCCACTATTTATCTTAATTTGTTCCTTATGATTGTTCTTTTTTTATCAATAAAAATTACAATGCATTAATTTATGAAAATGAAATTTAGCTGATCCCTCATAACCAACTCTTAAAAGAACGAAGAAAAAAATGATTTGATGAGACTGAACTTGATGGTCAAAATCTTAAAATGGCATTTACCCTTAAAAATGCCTCTGTTTTTATGAATAATCACATGGTAACTTACTATATATTGCTGTAACTGTATAAAAATTTCTCACATGCTCATTTAGAAAATAGAAATAAAAAACTATCAGCATTACTGTATGCTAGTTAGCTTTCTTTCTGATGTTACATAAATAAAACTTACACACAATATCATATGCATTCATTATCTTGCTTGAATTTAATTTCAAAAAGTTTTCATAAATTACTTCTTAATTTGACATTTTTTATGTGTGGTATGGATCCAGAATACTTAAGAATTTTGCAAAAACATTAATTAAAAACTTCAAATATTTTTCTCAGTTTCCAGCATTTTAAGTCCCATAGAAAGAAAACCTTTTAATATCCAGACAAATTTCTTTCAATTAAAACCAAAATAGCATAAATTTGATAGAGTGCTATGCTAAGTGCTGCACGGTACACCAGCAGGATGCTAACACAGGACCAATGAGTGTATATCAAAAGTATTTTAAAGACACAGTATTGTGCTTTACAGAGTTATAATGCTTGAGAAATGTACACATTTCTTACAAGGGAGGTCACCAAAGCAGATCTCTGTGAAATTCCATAAAACATTCCTTACCCATGAAATATTAAAACAGTTACAGCAAAACATACTAATAAGAATGATTTATGCTTATTTTATACTTTTTATTGCAATCATATATACAATATATTATCCTTTAATTATCACAGTTGTTTAACATATCAATCAATTTTTATTTTAATTTAAATATATGAATATTAACATATCTGATCGCATTGTAACTGACAAGTAGATCTGAAAAATATTGCTTCACCATTACAGCTGAAAAAAGGGAAGTTTGCAATTTGATTAATGAATCTCAGAATTGAACATATCTAAGAGTACTTTTTTCATGAAAAGCACACATGAATACAGTATTGGTATGGTTAAAAATGATTTAATTCTTCATTATACTTCTCATCTCTGGCTTTTAACAATGTATAAATTGGTTTCTATTACCAGGAAGAAATAGTTTGTGTAATAGCAGTGTATATATGATTGTAGATAAAAAGATATGTAATAAGCTTATATAATGTATCACATGAATTCAGTAGTTCTCCCACACAGGTATTGATGCATCTCTCACTGGTAACTAGACATTCACAATATTACCATTATATATATAGTTCTCTGGTGGGATTGTTTGTATTGTTGATTGTGCTCATTGCACTATCTACTGTATAAAATAAGATGAGAAGATATGGCATACTAATGCTAAATAGATAATCTTCAGGTATCTGCATACATTTACTTTTCTCTTGTTTATGTTTACTATGTGAAAATGTTTATTATCAAATGAATCAATGTTTTCAAAATTAAATATAAATTTTTTGAGGAAAAATTAAAGACAAGAAATTTCTTTAGTATTGTAAATAAAAATTTAATATGATATATATTTCCATTACCTTAAATAATGAACGTATTTATGTTTAAATGTCATTCGGGACCTTATATACAATACAGTGAGAGATGCATGCAACTAATATAAAACTTCAAACAAATAATCTGTTCAATAAATACCACAAACAAAATATATTATTGATTTTTTTTTTTTTGGCAAAAATTTCACATTGACTACTTTTTTCTACCATTTAGACTACAGAAGCAGTTATTCTAACAATCTGGTCTGGGAAACCATGTCATGGAAGCAGTTTTAAATGTCAAAAAACATTAAAATTTGTTACAATGATTATGATTGGTCAATATTTATAATCTATTCACAGAAAGCTACAACAATGAGCTCATAACAACTGTCAGTCAGCCAATCAAATCACATTTAACAGGTAAACAACATTTTTTTAAAATCAGCCAATCATGTAACATGAAATATAATAAATACCCAGTAGAATGAATCCACCAACAAAAAGTTTTAACAAAATGGATTTGACTTGACAATAGCAATTTAACAAGTGTAAAGGCAGAAAAAATACCCACTGTGGAATACAACAAATATTTCCTTCCACCGGTGAGGTTAAAAATTGTAAAATGAATGACTGTATTCCACTCCAACCATGTATTAATGCAATGAACACAGGTATACTTTGATGCATCTCCTCTGTGGCATGAATTCCTCACCCAAATGCTGATGCAATATCCTCCTTAGTTTGGAGACATGAAGCAAATAGACTCCTTTCATAATATATCTTCATCTCTATTTGAATGCCCACTTGACCATGAAATAATCTGTTGCAGCAAAATAGCTACAAGAATGGCTAAAAACACAAATGCGCACAAAATAATCACAGCACACTGTTGATCTGTCAATTGCTTTGGTTCCACAAATTTTGTTTCTGACACACGTGTATCCGAGGAAGATATAGGTTCGTGACCTTGTGTCATAAATGTGTGACTAGGACTGAATGCACCTATGACGTCCCCTGAACCATCGGAACAATGTCTTATTGCACAAACTCTCAGCATGTAGTCTGTCTTAGGGTTTAAATTAGTCAAAAAGAACTGTGATTCAGGTCCACAATACACCTGTAACAGTAATTTTAACATTTTAGTATGTCAGATAAAAATGTCCACATTCTTTTGCTAGATATTGTATGTGAAAAAACCTTTCACATTTTTTTTATAAGTATTGTATGTATAATATACCAACCACATCCCATCCCCTTTTCCCCTAATGTGACCTACTGAATTAACATGAGCAACACGACGGGTGCAACATGCGGAGCAGGATCTGTTTATCCTTCCGGAGCACCCGAGATCACCCCCAGTTTTTGTTTGGATTGCTGTTGCTCAGTCTTGACTTTTATATGTTGTGTTTTTTGTACTGTTGTTTGTTGATCTTTTTCTTTTTTTAGCTATGGCATTGTTAGTTTATTTTCTACTTATGAGTTTGAATGTCTCTTTGGTATCTTTCGTCTCTCTTTTGAGTATGTGTAATATAGTTGATCCTTTTTTTTTATGGGTATTGTATGTGTAATATACCAGACATATGTATTGCTTAGCATTTTATATGTAAATTACCTGGCACATGTATTCTTTAATATTGTATGTGTAATATACCCGCCAAATGTATTACTTAGTACTGTATGTTATACAAGAGTGCACACGCTGAAATGTCTCGCCTTCTTTACTAATCATTGATATTATGTTGATAGTCCTAAATATAAAGCTTTATTACAACTGTCACATAAACTTAACATTAACCAAGTAAACTAAACATTGACCAATGAACCATGAAAATGAGGTCAAGGTCAGATGAACCATGCTAGGCAGGCATGTACAGCTAACAATTCTTCCATACAACAAATATAGTTGACCTATTGCTTATAGTTTAAGAAAAACAGACGAAAACACAAAAACTTAACACTGAGCAATGAACCTTGAAAATGAGGTCAAGGTCAAATAAAACCTGCGTGACTGACATATAGATCATAAAATATTTCCATACACCAAATATAGTTGAACTATTGCATATAGTATTAGAAAAAAAGACCAAAACTCAAAAACTTAACTTTGACCACTGAACCATGAAAATGAGGTCAAGGTAAGATGACACCTGCCAGCTAGACATGTACACCTTACAATCATTCCATACACCAAATATAGCTGACCTATTGCATGCAGTATTAGAAAGAAAGACCAAAACTCAAAAACTTAACTTTGACCACTGAACCATGAAAATGAGGTCAAGGTCAGATGACACCTGCCAGCTAGACATGTACACCTTACAATCATTCCATACACCAAATATAGTAGACCTATTGCATACAGTATAAGAAAAACAGACCAAAACACAAAAACTTAACTATAACCACTGAACCATGAAAATGAGGTCAAGGTCAGATGACACCTGCCAGTTGGACATGTACACCTTACAGTCCTTCCATACACAGAATATACTAGACCTATTGCTTATAGTATCTGAGATATGGACTTGACCACGAAAACTTAACCTTGTTCACTGATCCATGAAATGAGGTCGAGGTCAAGTGAAAACTGTCTGACGGGCATGAGGACCTTGCAAGGTACGCACATACCAAATATAGTTATCCTATTACTTATAATAAGAGAGAATTTAACATTACAAAAAATCTGAACTTTTTTTTCAAGTAGTCACTGAACCATGAAAATGAGGTCAAGGACATTGGACATGTGACTGACGGAAACTTCGTAACATGAGGCATCCATATACAAAGTATGAAGCATCCAGGTCTTCCATCTTCTAAAATATAAAGCTTTTAAGAAGTTAGCTAACGCCGCCGCCGCCGGATCGCTATCCCTATGTCGAGCTTTCTGCGACAAAAGTCGCAGGCTCGACAATACCTGGCAAATGTATAGCTTATTATTGTATGCTATATACCTGACATTTGTATTCCTTAATATTGTATGTGTAATATACATAGCAATATGTATTGCTTAGTATTGTATGTGTAATATTCCTGATATATGTATTCCTAAATATTGTATGTGTAATATACCTGGCACATTTTTTGCTTAGTATTTATAAATAATAAAGATGTGGTATAATTGCCAATGAGACAACTCTCCACCAGAGACTAAATGACATAGAAGTTAAGAACTGTATGTTTAATATACCTGTCTAAAGTCTTGATCTCTACAATATAACTGTAATATGTATGATATGGTATCGGACCCCACGGGTTTACATCCTTGCCATTCTACAAAACAGCTATGCAACTGAACATCCTGTACTTTGGGAGCTGAAATTAACATCATTAATATGTTATATTGTAACTGGTTTTTATTTGTATCAATTACATGGTTGTTTTAATATTTTTCACTTTGTCCTTCATTCCACACTTGATTCATTCTGATGTTCGTTGTTGCCTTTGTTCTGTATTTAACAGGTGGAATTATTTACCTTTACATAACATTATTAAATGTTAAATTTGCAAATCACTTTGTTTGATGGTGTAATTGTTCTGCTATATTTGATTTCTTTATTTTCACTGTAATGCGTCAATGTTACCTTCCATGTTCCTATTCTTGTGTATGACAAACTTGTGTATTATGTCAACAGTAAGCAACACGAAATTATAAATAGCATAACAAATGCACCTAAAGGGAATTTCTTTTCAAGAGTATCCCTATGTTTGGCAGTATATTTCAAGCTCACTTGCTCTGACTGTTAACTTCTTATGGTTCCTTTTTTGTGAATCAGTCGATGTTTGTCACTAGTAAATACCTGATTGTGACAATCAAGTTATTTAAAATTTACACACATTAAACAATCTAATATTTAATTGATATCAACCTTGATGCACAATTCTTAAAACATTTCATCTTTGTTCTAAAAGGTAAAATTTACAACTACTATAAAATCATAGATTCAATTTACTTCATATTAATAAATTCTTGTAAATTTCAATAAAGAATATATTTACAATTACCAATTCACAAATACTTTTGAACAATGAAACAAAAACTAATGTCAACGTTTCAGATACAAGTGTACAACATAAAAAAAGGGTTTATTCTGTGGTTTGATACCCATGAAGCTCATTATGCAAGAAAACTTCATTAAAATCAATTCAAAATTTACAAACTTCTTTCCCCCCAGATAACAATAATTGGTAGAAATAAGAGGAATACCTTTGAGAGCAGGTGGTGGTGCTTTTAATGTTGTAAATGTATACACTTCTGAGTATGGTCCACTACCAGCAGCATTACTGGCAAATAAACGCAAGTCATAACTTGTCATCTCTTGTAATTTGTTTATTTTGTAGGAATTAGATGTGCCTTGGTATACCATTTGGAAGCTAAATTAAAAAAAAACTACTTTAATGGAACAATAATACAAATGGGAGTTCAAGAAAAAGATTCATTTATTTTGTTGAATATTCAGTTATAATAATCATTATATTCAAAATACAAAAAGTTATTCTTATTCAATAATTTTTCTAATGTACTTTTCACAACAATAAAGATAGTGCATACATACATCACTTCTGCTTCTAAAATGCCAGGCTTTGACACTATGTCGTTAATAAATTTAAACAAAAGAATTAAGCCAATTTCAGAGCTGTATAAAAAAAATGCAATTCTTACTTTCCATCTTCTTTTTCCATCTCTAAGGTGTAAGTGAGTAGATCCAGGTTACGACCATCACCCCATTTTAACTTGAGACTGTTAGGTGCATATGATACACATTCTAATCTTGAAGGATTTGGAGGAAGAGGTCGAGTAGTAACCTTCACAGGAGAACTGAAAGCACCTACACCGATTCCATTTACAGCTTGTACTCTTATTCTGTAAAAAAAAAAGAGAATGAAAATAATGTAAATATCTGTTTCATATAAGACATTCATCATTTTATTCTTGGACATTCACAATATAGCAAAATGAAATACAATCATTTCCAATGCCAAATACTGATCTATTTCTTATAGTATAAAAGAAACTGACATATCAGGAAACATGAACCATAACAATGAGGTCAGATGAACCCGGTCAGACAAGCCTGTACCCCTTAAAACTATTTTATATGCAAAATATAGTTAATACAAGAATTAAAAATGTTGGACACAGATGTATTATTAATCTCTATGACCAGACCTAAACTCCATTTATGTTTTTGTCTGAAGGTGTCAATTTTTTACAAAGCTTCAGCTCAGTACTGGGAAAGCAAACAAACCACCTTTCATTGACAAAAAGCTTTTAGATAATTATACCCAACTTACTTATATGAAGTTTCAGGAGCCAGCTCCTCAATGGTATATTCTGTAATGGCACCAATTGATATCAGCTGTTTCTCACCAATGTCAAGGTTATATCCTATAATGTCACTACCATTACAGTTTGGTTCTTTCCAGGTGAGATATATGGTGGTGGCAGTAGCACTAGAACGTATATGTATTACAGGTGAAGGACTAGATGGGGGCGTGACCGTTGTGGCTACAGGACTGAAGGGACCTGCCCCAGCACTGTTGATTGCCTGTATAATAAATAAAAGACATCTTTAGCATATGACAAATATAAAATGTTAGATGAGTTTATGAAAAAAAGTAAAATATTGGCATAACTTACATATTTGTTCAATATCAAAGCTACAGAACAACAAAAAAATAAGACAGTAAATATCATTCCTTTTTTACTGTTTAAGCTGAAAGTAAAACAACACTGATCATTAACTCAATAAGCTCTAATCCTTTATTTAAGTGCAGAATTAACTTACACTTGAACGCCTAGTTAATGGTTAGTATGCAATTTATTCAATATAAAGCAATTTTTTGCCATTTGTGAACCTAATCTATTATTATAATAGCTTACCTGAACTCTAAAACTATAAAGTGAAGCAGCAGTCAGACCTTTGACTTCATGACCCAGATTTGGACCAAGATATAACTAAAACGATAAACAAATCATCACATATCAATATAAAACAAATCAAAAATACATTTTATTTTAGATATATAATATATGAAACACTTTTAAACTGAAGCACCACTATTGTCAGTCACTTAAAAAATAGAAATTGTTAACACTAAATACACCATTAACTATTTGTTATAGCATTTATATACACAATTAAAAACTTAAAAGAAGAGGGATTGCCTCCCCTGACTCACTGTAATAATGAATGATCAATGAATTATAACAGAAATGTATACATAGTATTAGATTTGAATGGAAAAGGATTTATATGTGCTTTACCCTTTATGCAATTAATTTGTTTAAATGAACATTTGTTGTTTAATCAATAAAATATTTCAAATTGAATTGATTATAATTTTACAGGAAAACTCCAGAGAGATCTACCTCCCTTTTTAAAATAAATTTAATTCTTAGACAAACAATACCTGCATGAAATCTAGATCTGACTTGTGTTGCCATTCCACTCGATATTCTGTTATTGTAGCACCATTATTGACAGGGGCTTCCCAATTAACCATTGCACTGTGTGGAGACCGACATATAACCATAGGGGCCTTAGGTGGGTCTGGAACCCCTGCACCACTTACAACCTCTAAAGGTTCAGACCATGGTCCTCCCTATAATGAAAATATTATCAATGCAATATATATGTATATATATACACATAAATACAATACAATTTTACTATCCTAAAATAAAATTTAAATAATAGCTTAACTTCTCACGTATTTCAATCAAATCATTGGTTTCTAAAGATGGTAAATAATATGTTATATGATCCTTCTAATTTCTTGAAATGAACAAAAAACCTTTAATCATCTCAGGCTTAAAAGTATTGCTCTGGTTAATTCCTTCACAAACTAGCTGATGGAAGTAGGACATGTAAAATAAAATGCTTCGCTGAGCGCAGCCCAATACGACCGCAGTGGTCGAACCCTGAACAGTTTGGGCAAATTTGGACACAATATTCAAGCTTGATACTATCTGAATTTGGATTGTGATCAAATTTTTGACATAATATAGGTTTCTGACACAAAATAAATGTGGCCAAAGATCTTACAAATCTAATGCGCAATACTATGCAATTGAAGATTTCTTCTTGAAACTTTTCAAAAATTTGAAATTTTGAAAATTTTGAAAAAAAATATGAACCCTTTTAAAAAAAATTGGAAACCTCCCCTTCCCCCCAAACTTTTTGAATCCCCCTATTAGCATTAACAATCAAACTCAATTGCAGTCTTTCCTTTGTAGTATGTAACCTTGTAGTACAATTTTAGAGAGATCCATACACTTAATCACAAGTTACTGTCTGGAAACTAGAAAAATGCTTTTTTTTAACCATAAAAGCCCATTTAAATACATCATAAAAGTATTAAAATAGAAAATGACATCATAGTCATGGCTAAAATTAAAAAACCTTCATCTGCAACTTTTAATAGTAATATCTAAAAATAAAAATTTCTTCATCAGCATTTAAAAGTAACTTCTAAAAATAAATTGACAGCTAGGACTTTGCAACCATAAAAACCCATTTAAATACATCATAAAAGTATTAAAATAGAAAATGACATCATAATCATGCCTAAAATTAAAACACTTTCATCAGCAACATTAAATAGTAATATCTAAAAATAAAATTCCTTCACATACATAATCATGGCTAAAATTAAATAATTTTTAAAATAGAAAATGACATCATAATCATGCCTAAAATTAAAAAGCCTCCATCAGCAACATTAAATAGTAATATCTAAAAATAAAATTCCTTCACATACATAATCATGGCTAATATTAAGTTACCTTTATTAAACAATAAATTGACAGCTAATCACCTAAAGACAATACATTTCTTTATAAATAATTTACAAGCAGTGCAAGGGAGGTAATTTGACAATATGTGTTTGAATTACCTCCCTTACACTGCTTTAAAATTATGTTTTGTACTCAAGTAATTGTCAATTAACCTGAAAACCCTTGTTTTTCCCCCTTTTTTGTCCCTTATTCCTAAACAGTTTGAGCCATAACCCCCCAAAGCAAATTCTTACCATCCTTTTGTGATATGGTAACTTGTGGTATAATTTCAGAGAGATCCATACACCATTTCACAAGTTATTGTCTGGAAACTAGAAAAATGCTTATTTGGGCCCCATTTTGGCCCCTAATTCCTAAACTGTTAAGACCATAACCCCCAAAATCAATCCCAACCTTCCTTTTGTGGTCATAAACCTTATGGTAAAATTTCATAGAAATCCATACACTTAAACAAAAGTTATTGTCCGGAAACCAATGTGTCTTCAGACGACGACGACGTGATACCAATATACGACCGCAAATTTTTTGCGGTCGTATAAAAAGTGCAATCACAATTCTTATAATATATATGCTTCCACTTACCCCAACCCGATTAATGGCTCGAACTTGGAAGAGATATGGTCGACCTGGAGACAGACCAGCAACTATACAGTCAAGGTCACGACCTTTATACACCTCACGACTAGTGTTGTCAGGTGAGATCAACTGGGCAGCAAATTCTGTTATGGAGGCCCCACCATCATATTCAGGGTAACCTAGAAAAATTATCAAACCATAAATATTTTTCTATACTAAGAAAGATGTATATTTGATTTATCAAAACAACTTTTTTTTAGTTTTTACAGAAAAAATAGATTCTTTTTGTTTTAAGCCATCCACTGGTGATATAAAAGTCTTTCTGATCTAGACTACAGCAAAGATTGTAAACCAGTAAACAATTTTCAAGGCAATCAAAAGGTCAACAGTACTCTCATATGGAACCAAAAAGTATCAAATGTAAATTGAAAGTCTTTCATTTTGGAATGAATTTTCAAACTTATCTATAGTTGTATTTATGAATGAGTTACACCGGTTGACCTGATGTTAATTGGCGTAAATGACGTCATTGAACAATCGGTTTTCATTGTGACATGGGAAATGTATACATGTATGGGAAAATGCACAAATTTGAAAGTTGTCTATTCTTGTTACATTGAAATATTCTGCATATGAAATCTATTGATTGGTTGCTGTCCCAATGATATATCCCTCACAACTCCTTTTATTCTTGATATAAGTATGAATGTTGTATTATGTAATAAAATCTTTTTGAAATAATTATGAAAAATATCCAACTGTTAAGAAAGACCTTGTCAAGTAAACCTCAAAATTATAAAGGATGATTACCACAAGCACATACTCATAGGAAGGTCAAAGGGCTTTTTAACAAAAATATGTAGATATATAGGGAAGTGGTAGAGCAATGTAAACCAAAAAACACTTTTGGTAGATATATAGGGAAGTGGTAGAGCAATGTAAACCAAAAAACACTTTTGGTATGACTATTTGTTAGTACAACCCATCTTCATACTACCACAATAATAGTTCATTTATCACTTTAATGACATCTAGAAATCTTATTTAGAATTGGCATGTGTGGTAAATTCCTAAAGAAAAAATTGTTATAAACTGTTTTTTTCAGATTATACAACTGCATACCAAATATCATTGACCTACCACTAGTGGTTCACCATAAACTAGACCTAATCACAAACTAATACATTGTTGACGCCGCCTACACTGGAAACAGCATACCTATGTCTCGCTTTTTTACTCCATCAGGGCGAGACAAAAATTAAAGTATGTTCCAGTACACCATTCAGATTCGGAATATGTAATCATGATATCAAAAAAGAAAATTTGTATTCAATGCATTAGATGTATGTCATTAATTCAAAAGATATAAAACTAGATGTGTCAGAATAACACGAATGGCCCTGCTCACTAAAATAGCTTAAATCCATTTTCAGGAGTGGAAATTTGAGAATGAATGTCTATAAAACTTATTTTCACAAAATTTTCAAAGTCCAAAGCCTGTAATTTAGGCAAAAATCTGCAGAGCAGAACCTAACACAAACTCCATCTGTAACTCATCATAGTAGACTCACATATTAAAAATCAGTTCAATATGTGAAGGCGTTTAAAAAAAAAGTCCGTATAACTGCTATTTTCATGGAATTTTAAGTCCAAAGCCTGTAATTTCAGCAAAAATCAGCGGAGGGGAACCAAACGTAAACTCGATCTGTAACTCATCATAGTAGATTCACATACTAAAAATCAGTTCAATATGTGAAGGCGTTTAGAAAAAAAAGTCTGTATAACTGTTTGTTGCAGAATGACAGAATGACGGAATGATGGATAAGGGTCTAACAAAAATATTATTTTAGATCAAAATACTTTCTATCCTAATGGTCAACTATTTTTTGGAGACTTAATTGTTTAACCATCTTTTAACCTAATGGGTCACCATACTTACTCCATCGCAGATGTAGAGACGTAGCTTTAGGTTTGCCTTGTAACTTCGGAGCTTGACACTGGCCTGGCGGTACTGCCTGTGTTGTTGTTATACATGGATCTGAAAACTGAAACAAATAAAACATGTGATCATGTGCTTCAGGCTATTTATGTGTGCATCTGATATACCATAACAACTGGAGATAAAGAATAATGTTTACAAACAGATCTAAAGTGAATTTTCAAGGTTTTTGTTTAATAATAGGAATGTTTTTGGACACAAAATCACAGTAGTAGAGTGTTTCAAGCCCTTTGGATGTACATATATAATCAAATATAAAATTCACAACAAATTCAGACTACTCATTTACAACAAATATTTGTTTGTGACTTGATAAGATAAATCATGAAAACAAAACAAGGGAAAATCCAGGCTTTTTAATGCCAATTTCCAGTCAAATTCAACAATTCAAATTTTTTTATCATTATGTATTCTTTGCAACTCAGGCCTTTATTTTGCTCTTATAATAAGATTCCTTTTAAAATTGATTCTCCATTTTAAATTTCCTCCAACAATTTAATATCTTTCATTTTATTCATTTGATAAATAAAATATTCAGTGTTGAGTTAAGTAGTATTAAAAAAGAAAGACCAATAACAAATTGATCCTTTACCTCGCTGCGTCCACCCGCACTACAACAAGCTACTCGTACTTGGTATGTATGTCCAGGAATAAGATGATCACAGATATGTTCTCGGTCACTACCTTCGTACAACATTTCATAACCTGCAACATCAAATCATAAATTCTATAAGATAACAATAAAGTATCAATAAATCACTTTTGTTGCCTAAAGATGATGATTAATTTTTCTTGTTGGGGAAATGTAAAATTTGCCGTAAATATGTCTGTTATATTTCTCAATTCAGCAGAAAACGGAAATTTCCCAAAAATTTAATCATTAAACTGTGTAATTTTAAGTCACTTGAGCAAGACAGAGGCATTGGGCCTTAAAAACTGTATGCATTTGTAGACCAAATACAAAGGATGTATCACTAATACGTATTCTAAAACTGACCTATTCAGAAAATTCAACATTAGCATGTTGATGATACTCACTGCAATCACAAGAAAAGAAAAAGACATTTACACAACATTAAAGGCAGGATAAAACTACAATTTTTATGCATTAAGAATTTAAAGATTCAAAACATCACTTTGAATAGGCTTATCCAAAAGCAAAATAAAGAATATTTATATATATAGAATGCAACAAATAGCCTTGAACAGATTTTAAATTTCATGAAAAACTGTTCATGTGATTTGAAATCAACTTTTTCATGGATAATGCATCATAGATTGCATCTTACACCTACCAGCTTTGAAAATACCATACACATAATATTTATGTCTGCTAGACAATCATCTTAATCATAGAAAGTTCACTTGATTTCGGTAAGGCAAAACGTAATGGTCAATTCTTCAGCATATGACTTTTTCATTTTTTTTATAACAAAAAATTAAATGTCAGGAAATTAAAATTGAAATCATTGGGATTTGGAATGACATTTTTTATCATTTTTTTTTACATAAAAATGATTACGAAAGTACAACATAAATGTAAATAAGATTATTGAGTCAAAGTGAGCAAAAGGTAGATTGGGAAGGAATGCATTAAAAGTATACAATTTTCATAAACTAAATTGTAAATTATAACATCCATTTTACCTCCTCCTTTTATAAGCATTTTAAAAGTAATTAAAATTTCACATAAATAGAAAATGTGTGTAATTTGTAATATAGTCTTATTCATCATCAAAATATAAAAACACATAACTTTAAATTAAATTCTTTGTAATTTTATCATTAAAATTTTATTTATGTCAATCATAGTTTTTCTTGTTTTATTAATTACTCCCGTAACTGACACCAAATCATTTTCCTACTTACATGTGACAAGTTGCACTAACTGTTTGAATTTAACTATCTTTTCTTTGCAGTGATTAATATTCTATTAATGCTATGTTATCTTAGAACCATTGTGGACAGATCAAATAATCGTTAGAATTACATACCTTTTCCATCGTTCAATTCTACGATATATTTTGTAATTTCTGAGCCACCATTATCTTTAGGAGGTTCTGAAACAAAAATTCGTTCATTATTATTAGAGAAAATAAGAAAGGTTTAAGACCAAACTGTAACATTAAGCTTTACATTTTATATTCTTATCCTGGCAATGACATAAAAATCATGGTTATAATGGAGTATACTTAAAAGGTTTTAATGTTGTTTTTTTAATGTGAAAGGGGTGATCATACTCACATGGTATAAAAATTTGCTGTTTGACGATTTACTGAACAAAATCAGCTGTTCTTGAAGTGTTCTGGTGACTCTAATAAAATGTAATGACGCATTATGTTGGTTTTTTTTGTCCGTATTTTCTTTTCAATTTGCAATTGTAGAAATCTAACATAAAATAACATTTTCATGTTTATAATGAAAATATGTACTTTGCCTTAATTCCAAAAAACAAAGGTATATGATTAGTGTACCATGGACCTATCACCACATATTTTGCCTTTCATTTAACTTGTTTGTTTGAATGAGCACGGTCATCTATACAATATTGTGTACTTACCCCACACAACTTTGAAACTGTGAGCATGTATTTTGCCTTTAATTTGGGGTTTAGGGGGTGCTGAAGGTCTATCAGGCAATGTTTTGTAAGACACAGCTTCACTCCATTTACTCTGGCCCTCATCATTTATTGCTGCTAGCTGTAAACAAAAATTTGCCATTTTTATTGTATGAAAGTGCCTCATGTTTAATGGTATTGTATGAAGTGCCCCATGTTTAATGGTGTTGTATGAAGTGTCCCATGTTTAATGGTATTGTATGAAGTGCCCCATGTTTAATGGTATTGTATGAAGTGCCCCATGTTTAATGGTATTGTATGAAGTGCCCCATGTTTAATGGTATTGTATGAAGTGCCCCATGTTTAATGGTATTGTATGAAGTGACCCCATGTTTAATGGTATTGTATGAAGTGTCCCATGTTTAATGGTATTGTATGAAGTGCCCCATGTTTAATGGTATTGTATGAAGTGTCCCATGTTTAATGGTATTGTATGAAGTGCCCCATGTTTAATGGTATTGTATGAAGTGCCCCATGTTTAATGGTATTGTATGAAGTGTCCCATGATTAATGGAAGTAACCAACATAAGAATTTATATAAATTTATGACACTATCAAAATAAAGGCATATGAGAAATGTTTACCATATTCTACAGACTAAACGTCATGGAAACAATATCAATAAATAAATCAAAAGTTTTGATCCTCTGATAATGAAAAAAAAGAAAAAATACTTTTATACACATAAAATATAAAGTTACGGCTAAAATACTATTTCTAATCAATGAATTTGGTGCATTTGCAATTTTTGGTTTGTAAAATTACCTACCCTATATTTATAATCTGTATTTCTACGTAGATTTTTTATTTTATAAGATAAGTTTGTACCATTATATACTGGAATAAAACCATGGCCCTGAAAGAAACACAGAAAAGTAAAATCTCAGAATAGAACATTTAAAACAAAGAACATTGTTTAACACATATGTATTGACAAGTACAAGTGCTTGCTGGCTCAAAATAACAAACATAAATATTTCTCATCCATAAATTATTGTAACCACTATAGGGTAGCATTTAGTACTTGAAATGGGTCAATGACTGTCCTTAAACATTGTACCTATTACGGATGTTGTACCACTTAACTCTTAAGTGTTCTATATATAGAGAGAGTTGTCTTCAGGTTAACCAGAGTTAATGATGTAAAATTAAGATAATTTTTATTTACATCAAATCTTTTTAAACCTAAATAAATGATCCATATAAGGTGCCACAAAATAAATAAAAACATTGAAATAATTTAAACAAAAAACACTGACAAATGAAGTTATTAACTTCATCAAAATAAGTTAATTTTTATAGCATAAAATTACTATCATTATTTGTTTTGTCTGGGTTTTTTTCCCCTCATCTTTGTCAAATCTTACCGTTAATTCATCTTCCATCTGTAAAAGGAATGAATCTTCATTTGGCCTTTTGATCCATGATATGAGAAGAGAATTAACAAAAGCTTCTGACAACATGGGTGGATCTGGTTGGTTAGGAACACTACCGCTGGTGTAAAATGCCACTGGATCACTGTATTGACTGGAATATAAATTTTGTAGTTTTCATTGTTATTATTTATAAGTTGTAAAAAATAAATGAAAGATAACATCCTTTTTACATATCACCCTGACGTCATTTGTCAATTTCAGGTATCTCCTCTCTTATAAAAAAATTCGTAAGGGTTCCGCGGAACCCAGTGTCTCGCCTACTTTTGGTGTTAATCGCAGGCTCAACAAAAATGAAGAAAAAAATTAATAAAAATATTCCCCTCTATACTATGTTTTGATTGTAAGTAGCTTCTGTCCAAGTTTGGTAAAAATCCAGGATAAATTATGAATCTAATAAATGTTTTAAAAACTTAAACTGCAGAATGTATGTAATGTTGACTGGAAGAAAAACTAAGTCCATTTATAAGTAAAATACAGAAAAAATGGAACAAAATTTTATCAAAATTTCCTTCTAGATACTATCTTATGATCATAAACAAGCTTCTTTCCAAGTTTGGTATAAATCCAGGATAGTTTAAGAAAGTTATTGAAATTTCAAAAACTTTAACCACAGAGTGAATGTAATGTTTCCTGGCAGAAAAACTAAGTCCATTTATAAGTAAAATACGGAAAAATGGAACTTTTTTTTTACAAAATTTACTTCTGGATACTATCTTATGATCATAAACAAGCTTCTTTCCAAGTTTGGTAGAAACCTAGGATAGTTTAAGAAAGTTATTGAAATTTTAAAAACTTTAACCACAGAGTGAATGTAATGTTAACTGGCAGAAAAACTAAGTCCACTTATAAGTAAAATACGGAAAAAATGGAATTTTTTTTTTACAAAATTTACTTTTGAATATAATCTTATGATCATAAACAAGCTTCTGTCCAAGTTTGGTAGAAATCCAGGATAGTTTAAGAAAGTTATTAAAATTTCAAAAACTTTAACCACAGAGTGAATATTTGTGGACGCCGCCGACGACGACGACACCGACGGAATGTAGGATCGCTATGTCTCGCTTTTTCGACAAAAGTCGAAGGCTCGACAAAAAATCAAGTCCATAGACATCCAACTTCTTTTAACATTTTAAAAAGTTTATTTTAAAAAAAGCTTTAAAATACACCTTGAATTTAGCTGATTGCAGCAGGTTAAATGGTAATCCTTGATAGGTAATATCCAAGATTAAATTTCAGAAATGATATATACTAACCTTTTCCCAACATTATTTATTGCAGCTACCCTAAACATATATTTAGTAGAAGCTTGTAACTTTGACACTCTGTGTTGTCTCTGTAAACCATTATATGCCTCCACAAAACCATCTCCTAGACCCTACAATACAAGATGTAATGTTTTCACTACAAATAGGTATTATCCTAATCTAGAAAATATTTTGAAGTACAATCTACTTCCCATATGTCTTGCCAGTCCAATTTCCTATAAAAAAAAATAGATAAAAAAAACATCACATTGTTTTTTTTCCTTTGAATTGCTTTACATTTTGTCATTTTGAGGCATTTTATAGCTTTCTTTACAGTATGGGTTTTACTATTGAAGGCTGTAAGGTGGCCTATAGTTGCTTACATTCATATCATTTGGTTTCTGGTGGATAATTGTCTCATTGGCAATCATACTACATCTATTTAAATGACAACAAAATGGGTTTATCTTACATTTACTAGTATCCTTGTAAAAGCAATAGAGCCATAACTCATGAACAGCAAAAGGGAAAAACAAACCTTGACCTCCTTTTGTCATCAGATACAACATTTTAAAACTTTAAAAGGATTGATTCAAGTGTTCTCAAGTTATCGTATGGAATCCACTAAAAGTTTAATTTAAGCCTGTGTACTTCTGCAGCATCCTATCAATAATGTATACACAAAATCCATGTAGAAATGTTTAATTGTCACTTGCAAAGGTCTTATGTGATTCAAATCAAAATTAATTCAAAACAAATTCACTAAATGTGTAAAAATCTGAAATAAAATCAGCTGCATATATGCACTTTTATCCCACGCTTTTTAGGATGATTTGATTAAATTCCTATAATTGGTTTAACATTAAAAAGAGTCAAGTTTGACAGTTTGAGTGTTACATTACTCTTTATTAATTTCAAACAATACAATTACCCCTGTAAATTACTAGGGTAAATTACTAAGTAACATCTTTATTTTGATTCAATAGTGACACTATCATTTAAAGATGAATGACAAGATGAATAATGAAAACATGACAGCCTCACACTTATCAAGTTGTACCCTATTTCACATTCACTCTCAGTATTAAATTCATTGACATTTATACACATTAAATAAATTGCTTTTTTCCTCAGAGCTAAATAATAAAAAATTACTTATTTCAATCTGAAATGTTGAACCAGAATCATAAAACATCTGAAGTTTTTGTAAATTTTTGGTACAAAATAAGATATACATGACAATTGTCCTTATGTTAAATACTTAATCAAGTAAAGATTTTTCAGCAGTTTTAACTGGCTATAATATTATTAAGTTTGTGCATGTGCCTTCCTCATACTTTGTTTATAATTTATAACCACTGTACATCTAATTTCACCTGTCTAATCTATATATAGCTAAGTCTACAGAAATAAAAATTTTAGTGAACAAGGGCAAGTGAAATTTGACAATACAAATTAACACCATCTACCAAAACCATCCCTTTAAGTTATGTTTGCACTAAAACTTGGCAACCCTATCATAATTGTATAATAGCTGCACCCAACCATATAGTGTCAAGAATTCCCCAAGGTATTCTTAATCAAAATATTTCCTCCTTCAGCTGCATTTGTTGAAATACGTAAATAAACTACAACATTCTCTATAGCTTTTTCTCTTTATTTATCTCTATTTCATCTTGAAAACTAATTAATCCTCTTTTATTTATTGCTTGTTTACTATATTAATTTTCATTATTGCATTTTTTTTTAATCTTCAATGACATATATGGTTGTCTGGAGGCATTTTGACAATTTTCAGGTAAAGGAATGATAGAATAAGTTTATTTTTCTTTTTGTTATTTTGACATGAAGGATTTAGTCACAAAACCTTTAAAGATAAAACCATTAACTGTTATGTAACAACTATGAAGTACTAAAAAAGGGGCATTCCCTAGTGATAAAAAGGCATTGAAATAGAAGTTCTTATATTCTATAGTGTTAAAGCAGCCTGATTGTTCTACTGATATCATACCTTATCATAATCTAGCATATAAGTAGTAACCTTTGACCCATTCTCACAGGTTGCCTGAAATAAATAAACAATTTATGTAATATGTCTTATACAACCATGACTGTCTAATCTGTTACATACTAAATCTTTTTTTCTGTCAAGTCTAATCCCTACCATATAAAACAAAAGTTCAATGCAATAAAGTGACTAAAAACATGACTATTTTACCAGGGCTACCATTTTCAAGAGTATGTCTGCATCATAAGAAAAGAAAATTACAAGAAACTGGCACGCTGCCAATCTAGGACCCCCATCAATGATACCTATCAGTTTACCAACCTGCTACTCTGAACCAATTATAAAGACAAATAATATCATCTTTTCTCTGGACTTCTCATTTTCAGATAAAGTGAAAAAAATCTTCACGATTTCAATGATAATTTTGAACTTTTTGTGGTTTCTTTATTGATATTGATGGTGGCATTTAGAACATTGAAAACCACAGAACAGTCAAATTTGATTAATTTTTTGCTGAATCAGATGGAAATACCAGAAATTAATGACTGCAAGGTTAAACACATCAAACAGTTAAATCTGATAAAGAACATAATATCATTTCTACTTGTAATAATAAGTTTATTTTTTCTTTCCTCATTTTTCATACCTCAAATTTCTTTATGGAAATTTGAACATTTGAAATAATGAAAATAAAAACCTCAATATTGACAGAAAGGGAACATTACAAAGCATTACACAGTCAAAGGCCTGTATGAGTCAGATCTATTATATTACATTTCAAATCTAGCTTTCCTATAAAATATTAATGTACCATGTACATGTTATAAATACATTATCTCCCTTTGATTAAAAAGTCAGACAAACTCTATCTTTATTTAGGCTATTTTTGATACATTGCATAAATGTTCCATTACTCTAATCTAATCTCAAATGAAAAAATATTGTATCTATCAATAAATAATTATAAATTGAAAAAGAACACAGTGAAAAGAAATCAACATTTAAGGAAAAGGTTTAAATACATTTTGTTTTGCTGATGATTTTCCTGCTTACAGTTTCTTCATTTCTATAATAATTTTTGAGATACTAGTCACAAACTTACATTCCATTTGAGTGTGATTGAAGTTTTAGTTTTCGAGGACAATTTAGGAGGTACGGGAGCATCAGGTTCACAGGTGCCCGTTGTAAACTGGACAGCTTTTGTAGGTTTACCCTTTAAATCTTCCAGTGAAGTACACACTCTGTAAAAAATATATATTACAGGATTAAATATGCTTTTAAAGTTAGTTTGTTTATAGCCCTTTCCAGAATCATGACTTTTATTCTAAAATTACAAATTGGAGCAGGTTATTTCCCTTGCCATGAAGTAGAACTACTTTGCAGCAATGAAGCTCAATGAAGAGTCAATGATTAATGCATGTTGATTTAAAGATAATATTTAATTTATATAAATATAGAAATTATTATTGGTCTTTTGCCTTCAAACATGCTTGTAATCAAACTGGATTATAAAGCTAGAAATGTTTGTTAACTAAAGTAATACATTGATTTCAATTCACTTCTCCCATTGCTCTGCTCAGCTGCGAACCAGTATTTCTACCAGTATGCTTACCAACAGGGTAAATAATTTATTCAATATCATTTTAAAATTACATTAGGGCTTTGAAATGAGTTTCAAGAAAGTCCTATATGTACACTGGGCAACCTCAATTAAAATTCAAGTCAAGTTTCACAGATTCTGTTTAACTGAGTATCTAACTAAACATCTCATCACTTTAGATACTGAGAACTATAATTCAACAAAAATTCTAATTTATGATTTTCCCCATAATTCCTGATTTGATCATTGACCCAATACCCCATATCCCACCTTCTCTTTTTTCATCAAATACCAAATAAATGTATTCATTCACTTTTTGCTAGTATGAGCCTTTTGCATTAAATTTGGAAGAATATCATATAAAAGTTTTCGATTTATTAAATGTAATCATTGAGATCACAGTGAAGATATATACAGGTAAATACCTTAGGAAGTAATCTGTTGCAGGTTTTAAATCTTTTAATGTTATTTCTGTGGCATCACCACTGAAAACAAATTTAAGAATATATTATATTGCCTATTATGATATCATATATTATAAGGTAGGTTGTTCTATTCAGGTACTCCAGCTTCGACATAATCACAAAATCTCAAGATTGACAAATGAACCATGAAAATGAGGTCAAGGTCAGATGAACCCTACAAGACAGACAAGTTCACCTTAAAATCATTCTATATACCCAGTATAGTTGACCTATCAATAATAGTACCTGAGAAATGAACCTTATAATGTAAACTTTATGTAGATCACTGAAACATGAAATGAGTTCAAGGTCAAATGAACACTGTCTGATGGAAATGTATACCTTGCAATGAATCAATATATCAATCAAATATAGTTGTCCTATTACTAATAAAAACTGAAAAATTTAATGATAAAAAAAAATATACAGATTTTTTAAATAGTTATTGGACCATAAAAAAAGAAGTCAAGGACAAATGATGCCAGACAGAAACCTCAGACCAAAATGCATCTGTATACCAGATTTGGAACATACCCTTCTGAAATATGAAGCTTTGTACAAAGAGTATCAACATTCTGCACTTACAAAACTGTTTATGATGTTAATTTCAATTCACTTTTTAAAATAGGAGATATTTACTTGATGTCCTTGTAAATGAGACAACCATATTGGCCTAGCTTAAAATGTTTCATTCACAAAATCCAAATTAAATATCCGATTATGTCATAGTTTTGAAATGCATTAAACAGATTCACGTTTAAACTTTAATTATTTTGGAATTTTAAAGTTAACCTATTTAATGGCTTTGTACTACAATAGTCCTCTATTGTGCAAAGAAAATAAGTTATTTTTGTTATGTAATTATCTCTCAAAGGTCTGATCTGTAGTAAATGTAATGGGAATGAGAAGACCTTGTATAAACAAGTTAAACCTACTTATTAAAGTGACTGGGAAACTGTAGGGGTTCAAAATCATAGACATGACAAATGTAAGGAAGTGCACATGAGTCACATTAAAAGTGATCATAGCTGTCAATAAACTGATATGTACCGGTACTGGTTATTTAAGGAATATCAAATAAAATAGTATCTTTCCATAATAATTCAGTGACAACTTATGTGAATGCACCAGTTATATTGGTAGACATGTCTTTTAATTTTTTCTATAGATTGAACTCCTTAGGTTTTGTTGAATTTTTGGTGCACAAACCATTTTTTCAATCTCTCTAAATAAACAACCACTGGATTAAACTGATGAGAGTAACATACATTAAATCATCTCAATATTCAAAACAAGCTGGCTAGACTACATTTATGTTTACATTATACCAAGCATCTTAGGTTTAGGTGGAAATATCACTTTTTAAATAGCAAATAGACTTTAAAATAAATAGTTATCATGGTAGAAACTTCAACAATCAATGATAGTAACTTTAAGTAACAAAGTAAAGCACATATTTGACTCATAATATATTTGGACATATAATTTGATATTTAGGAATATGTTCACTAATATAAACATACCGTTCCCAAAAAATGTTAGTGGGTTATCAAGAACCTGTTATTTAGGTAACTAAGCAATTGAAAATATATAAACAAGGCAAAAAATAAACAAAGTACAGTCAGACAAGAAACACAACATATTTGAAAACTTAAGAATTGAATAACCCTGATGAAAACCAGCATTGAAGCTTCTTGCACCAGAAGATTTAGAATAACTTGTCATAACAGCAACAGATAAGATAAGATAAGATAAGAATTTTATTAATCTAATCAAGAACCCATAAAGGGCATCATTTACAACAATATTAAGCACAATATGATTGGAAAAAAGAAAAACTAATATAATACTATCATATATTGGACAGGATCAGAGCCTAACACATCATGTGTCTTACATAACATTAACAATAATTGCATAATAATTTTATATATTTTGTATCCACCTGGATCTTATTTCTAAACACTTAATTATATAATTGCCTAGGCACATAAGAGTTGGTAAATGCTCATTTGTGAACAGCCAGAAATATTTTTTATCCTTGGGTAATTCTTTAAAATTATTACAAAAACTGTTTACTTTATCCCATAATAATTTTCTCTGTTCGTTATATAAAGGACAACTTACTGTGAAATGGGTCTCATCTTCAATAGAATTTGATCCATGTGATAGGCAGTGATGACATAGACGCTGACTTCTCTCTATGTATTTTTTACTATACCTATCTTTCTCAATTTTAAGATCATGTGCACTTATTCTCAATTTACATATAGCTCTTCTTATATTAAAATCTTTAATTGATAAATAAGCCTCCTTTACGAAGTCAGTCTTGAGGTTGAAATAATTTTCTAATTTACTATTACCTTGTGATAAGGTATCAGATCTTTTGACCCCCCAAAATGTTTGAAACTGTTACAAAGTTTACATTTTACAAATTTAATTAATCTATTGAGCTTTGTATTCAAATTTTGTATATCAAGTGATTGAAGGACATATCTCATAGATGAATACCAACAATTAATGTTTCCTGCATCTAAAATTTTATTACAAACATAAGCATCATAAAGTAACCCATCGTCCAATTTGTTAAGCCTGTGTACATATTTTACCATAGATATAATGACAGAAAAATAAAGAGGAAATCTTGCAACCTCTGATAACACTGCCAAATTTTTGCAACAGGAACTCAGACAATGTTGACAAAAACAAAAATATATACTGATAGTTAAGGTTGATTATCCAAATCACCATTTTGAACATGAAAGATAAAACTAATATTTTCTTAAATGGGATAAATCTTACCTATACACTAATTTATATTTTCCTTCTTTGCCTTTATCTGATAGTAACAACTCGTAACGAAATTCTCCAGGGTCAATCTCGAATTCACTTTGGTCATATTCTGGAGGTGCCAACTGTATCAAGGCACTTCTTGATTCCACCTCACTTACCTAAAATGAATGAAAACAAATTGTTAGTTTTTGTTCCCCATAATATCAAGTTTTATTAAAAAATAAATGGGGAATGTGTCCATGGGACACAGATGATGCCCCCGCTTGCATATAAAGTTATAAAGGAACACAACTCAAGAACAGTAAGAGTGACGCTACGCAAATTCATACTTGATATGAGTTTTGTGGTAATAATCATTGTGTATATAGTTTCATAACATTTGGTTGAGGCAAACTTAAGTTAAATGGGTAATTATGGTTGCAAACTCCATTAGAAATTTGAATTGAGATACTGACCATAGTGTATTGCACAAAAGCAAAAAAACGGGGTAAAATTTTTTTTTGGGGGGGGGGGGGTCAATTCGCAACAGCATAGTGTATTGCACAAAAGCAAAAAATAGATTATAAATTCAAATCATATAACCAATTTGAAGTTCTTTGACTACAGTTATTCTGTGTCAGAAACCTATTATGTGTCAAAAATTTAGTTACAATCCAAATTCAGACCTGTATAAAGCGTGAATATTGTGTCCATTTTGGCCCCAACTTTTCAGGGTTTGACATCTGCGGTCGTATCCAGCTGCGCTCAGCGAAGCAATTTATTCCATTTGTGAGGGAGCATAACTCTAGAACGGTTAAAGTGAGGCCACCAAAATTCAAACTTGATCTGTGTTTTTGTGGTAATAATCATTGTGTATAAGTTTCATAACATTTGGTTACGGCAAACTTAAGAGAACGGAAACGAAAAATTCAGCAATTTTTCCATTTGTAAAGGGGCATAACTCTGGAATGGTAAAAGTGACGCAACTAAAACTTCAAACTTGATCTGTGTTTTGTGGTAATAAGCATTGTGTATAAGTTTCATATGATTTGGTTGAGGCAAACTTAAGTTAGAGAACAGAACGAAAAATTCAGCAATTTTTTCATTTGTAAAGGGGCATAACTCTTGAACGGAAAAAGTGATGCCACCAAAATTCAAACTTGATCAGTGTTTTGTGGTAATTAGCAGTTTCATAACATCTGGTTGAGGCAAACTAAAAGCTAGAGAAAGGAAACCAATTTCGGGACGTATGGACAGACAAGGGTAAAACTTAATGCCCCCTCTGCTACGGCGAGGGCATAAAAAAACTTTGTTTTTCAAGATAACCCTTTCCATGTAAATTTAAGATGATATTATACAAAAGAAAAACTGGTTCCAAAATCCATGACAATCACAATGAAAATACATATAATGGAAAAAATTTGCTTGATTTTAATCTAATTGTCAAAATTTTGAAAGTATACAAAGATTAAATAATATGTTCCAGGCACTAAAATATTTTGGCCTTGAAGTCAAAGGTCAGGTCACATGAAGGTCATGATGAAATGCAACACACCGTCTTATGGTAGTACACCTCCATGCCAAATATCATAAGCAAATTAGTTATGGCCTGGAAGAGTTGTATGAGAAAAACCATAAGACCCATAAGAAGAAGGAACACTACTCGCACATAATGCTTTGAGGTTATGACAAAATTATCTACCACTGGTTCAACCACTTGTGGATAAGTTATGGCATATTAGATAATTGTTGTTGCACTTACGGCAGGTTCTGGCATGTTAGATAATTGTTGTTGTAGAATTTTTCTTTCTTCCTCCAGTTCCTGGATTTGTCCTGTATCTGGAGCAGCAGGACATGGTGTACTGTTACTGTGTATATCTCCATTCATACCTGCATATAAAGTATTATGATAAAAGATTCAGTATAACAATGTATTATACATGTATACTACCGATTCAAAGGCAGATTATGGAAAGGTATTCATAATCAAGATAGTTTAAACAAATTTTAAAATCTTGAAATACAAGTTTTGCCAAGCATATTCATATGAGTTGAGAAATATCACACAAGATGCAGTGTTACAATCTGTTTCAGTTTTTTGTGCTGTTGGGTCACTGTCACTTTGATATATAATATTCCTCTCAATTGCCATTTACTGTTATCAAGATGAAATGTGGCTAAATACATGTCTTCAATTGGAATTGGAACAGACAAATTAACATGTGGTAGGGTTAAAATAGTGCTTTGATTGTTTTAAACCCTCTGTCTGGAATAATATAAAAATTATTTTGTACTACAAAGTTTACACTTGTTTCAGGTGTTCATATGTACCATTAGAAACCAGGTTAATTGGTCAGGTAAGAAAGGAGCACCAAGAAAGATATAATCTGTACCTATTAACTATACCAACAGTATGCTAAATATTTCATCTATATTGATCATCTAGTGTGCATAAAACAAAATTGTACATTGTTCTATAATTTCAAAGCTCATTTCTTTCTCTGTTTTTAGATATGTGTACAATGAAGCATATAAAATTTAAGTCTTCACTTTCCATACAATAAAGCCCTAAAGCCTGCTCACAAGAAGGTAACTTCAAGACATTTCTGACTTAAATAGCTTAGTTGTTGGTTAGGCAGAATTCTTATTGATAATTTTGTTACTTCTCAGAGAAGAAATAATAAAAATGTGATTTTCTATTAGCATTGCCAGCACAAGACACAAAAAGTGTGCCGTGTATCTATCAATATAAAGACAATATCATTCTCCTTATTACTGAGGCATTTTTTGTATGCTTTCTTGTGAAAGTAAACAGCTTGGACAAATTTTTAACATTGTGTTGTAAAATTAGACCAAAATGTAATAATATGTCTGGGTGAGAGATTTATATCTTGTTTTTCTACATATCAGTTGAGAAATTTAAAGTGGGTCAAATATCTCTTATAAAAGATATTTTATCAAGTCTACTGTTAGATAAAGGCTTTTCATAAAAGCACATAGTAGACAAACTTTTATTTTCTAATTCAAATAATTTAGAAATTGTTGTAATGAAATAAAAATGAAAGAAACTTTTACTCCTACACACTACTTGTCATGTGTGGTAAAAATTTGCTGATTAAGGGTATTTTTTATTTCTTCTCCATCAAATACTTGCAAGTCAGCAATAACTGGATTCCATTTAAGATACTAAAATCTAGACTAAAGATACGGTGTTACATTTTCTTTTATGAAAATTACATAAACCTATAAAATTAATGAATATGTCAGGAACTCATACACATGCATGTTTCCTAAATTAGTTTTCTCCCTGTAGATCATGTAAATTATCCATCATATGTTTAACTAACTTCCTTTTCAATGCCTTTACAACGTCATGACAAGTTAACAAAGAATTCAGTACACTGCTGAAATTTTCCCATCAGATACCTTTATGCTGATTCAGCAATATTCCTACTTAAAACCAGAGCCGACAGTGTGATCCATTATTAACTCCTTTTCCCCTTTACACATTTTTTTACTATTTCTTAATCTCTCAATGTCAGTCTTGAAGCAGAATCCAACTCAATCAATAGAAAAGATAGTGTGTGTAATGTTTTATCCCCCTTTTCCACTGTCTTTGCTATATTTTACATATGACTTCTTCTTTACTGTGCACTGGATATACTTTACCATTATCTTTTTTCCATAAAGGACATTTTTGATAGCTATGGACAGTTTTTAAAACGGTGAAATGTCTCTTTCATTTCCATTATAAACACTAGGCAGATTAACAAACTGAAAGAATTGGTAAAATGACAAATAATTTCAATTATCAAGACAGCTACCTTTCAATTAGTCACAGTCTGCACCAAAATCTTTTCCAAATACCAATATTCCAACAATTTTCTTATGTGTCTAAACAAATATTTGCAAAAAACTCACTAGTCCGATTACAATTTTACTAGTCTGGGGCATCGGACTAGTGGCTAATGGTGCAAACTAATTAGATACACATCAATAAATGCTACAAGAGTGGAAAACGGGAGAGATTTGATTGTCTTTTTAAATACAAAGTTTGATTCTTACTTGTACCTAAACCAGTATTCTTTTCTCAAAGCCATTAAGTTAGTATTCCTTTATTGTTAAATGGATAATAATTTCACAAGATAGTGACCGAAAGGACCTAAAATCTTATTCCTTAAATTCAAAAATGTTGGTGGGACATTTAAGGTGTGTTGTTCATATAACTTGTATGAAGTTTAAAATAAATTTATGAATACAAAGAAGATCATAAATTCATACAAATGTATCATTTTTTTTATTTTTCCATTGACAAATGTTTTACACTTGAAAGTACAAATCCTTTTCAATAAAATAAATATCTTCCCTCTTTCAACAAAACTTTCATTTTCTGAGATTTATCTTCAATCTATTGGAAGGCAACTAATTTCCTATGAAACTGACAGTTTCCAACTATAAATCCTTTAGAGAAAGAGTGTGCAACAGGATGTCTGCAAGATTTACCAACACAGCCTATAATTGATTAAATCTCTTTCCATAAAAGGATAGTAAAAGATGTCAATTTAATGTGTCTGTAATTGTGGGACAATAATCTTTTTCAACAACTCAAGTTGATCCAGTGAGACAAAAAACAAATTCATACCCTATTTTCAATATGTTGAAATTCTGTAGGAGTGAAGTCACAAAAAATGTGTTAAAATCATACATTTGTACAATTATAACCTGGAGCATAAACTTGAGACTTAACTGAAGTTTTCATCAGCAAATGTGTGGGAATATAAAGAATTTTACAGAAGTACAAATGAGACTGAACTATATGTTGAATGTAATAGTGCATTATTAAATATAACTACTTTTTAAAGCAATATTATTGAGCTAGAAAGTACAAGTTTGAAACTGAAATACTTATGTAAATCTATTTTCTCTCTCAATAGTGTCCTTGAACTTTTTCATTTCTTATGCAGCTGGCAATCTATATTTGTTTGATTTCTGAATAAATGATGTGGTGTAAACATCAAGACAAGCACCCAGGTCTATAGAAAAAATTGTCAGATGTGCTTTGATTGCCAATGAGACAACCATGCACCAGAGTTCGACTGACAAAGATATAAGTAATTATAGGTCACCATAGGCCTTCAACAATGAGAAAATCCCATTCTCTATAGTCAACTATAAAAGGTCCTAACATGACAAAATGTGAAACAATTCAAATGAGAAAACTGACAGCCTAATTCGGAACAATCCAGCGAAAAACCAATATGACAGACGTAAAACAACGACAACTACTGAACTACAGGTATCTGATTTTAGACAAGCACATAAAGAATTTAACGGGGGTAAACATTTTTGTGAGCACTAAACCCTCCCCTAACCTGGGTGAGTACTGTTACTTAACCCTCCACCTATCTTTAATCTCAATCAGTGGAAAACAAAAGGTACATGGTCAGGAGAGTCTGGATTCTCAGTAACTTTTTATTAACATGAACAAAAACAGTGACAGTTAACCACAAACTTACTATTATGTAATTCAAAACTAATTATATTTTATTTATTTTTCAATTGCCAATTATGTAGCAAGCCTTATTATATTTCAGATATAAACTAAGTGTCATTTCTACCATTTCAAATTCACTTAATACATTCACCACAGAATTATTCCCACTGGGACAAGAAGCCATTAGTGCATGAGTACTCAACTACTTTGTTCATCAAAACTATGAATCATACTTGTGCACGAAAACCTCAAAAGCAAGATATTAACTCAAAGTTAACATTTCAAAGAACAACATGATAAATCTGTAAATTCATTCCATGCAGAGCTGGACAAGAGCCAGAGAGTGAGAGAAACACAGGTAACCATGTTTATTTAGGTGTCCAGTATCAAGGTCATCTTTAATAGGTAAAACCCATCAGACACAAATAATCAAAATCATTAGTGGTTGGAAGACTTCCAGACCCGCCCTAAATACAAATACAGATAAATGTACCTGAGAATACTTCAAGGGATGATTTACAATACTTTCCCTTCTTTTATTTTGTTTGTCACCTATTTGGCAGATTTAACAATTGTAAATGAAAAACATGTCAAAGGCTGTGAAAAAGTCATTTCTAAAAGGCTTTAAAATTAATCAATTTTACAACTTTATCCTTAAACAGACTTAAATTTCATTTGCCTTAAAGGGGCACTAGCTGTCAAATTTGTGTTCACTGATTTGACTCAAATTCTCATATTTGATTTATAACAATGTAAAACATCTATCCAAATTATAAAAAGTCTAAAATAAACAATTTACAGGACATGGGCTCAATTATATGTAGCTTCGTTTCATGTGTATTTTAGTCTAGACGCCATCTAATTAACTATCGAGTTGACCTCTGAGACCTCTGATGACCATATAAGCGATATAAACATCAATATAGATATAAATAGATATCGAAATTGTGCAATTGGATTTTTCTATGTCTGTTTAATTTCATTTTAAAGATTAAAAATATATGTTAAATCATCGTTTTTACTTATATACAAATGATTTTTTGTGGATCGAATCAGTCAATCAAATGATTTACCTTTGTTTCACTTTCAATGTTTACATTCTTTTCCTTTAAATAACTTAACATGCACGATTCATGCTTTATCCATTTTAGCTAAAGGGTTAAATTGAAGTTCACATGAATACGGATTCAATGAGGTCGAATTATTCACTTGCATGTGAAAAATTCATCATCAATATTTCTTAGCTTATTTTGACAAAATTGAAGCAAACTGGCTGCTAAAAGTGATTTATCATTTCACTATTTCACTTTCATTAATGATTGAACAAAAAAAATCATATTTTAGATTTTTCATTTATCTCGTAGCTAGTGCCCCTTTAAAATACTCATGACAATTTGTATGTACAAATCTAACCTAACATTACTATCATGAACCAATACATTAATGCCAACTTAAAATAAATTCTGTAAATTTCATCAAAATAGAACAATGATGGTAGTTTAATGTCAAATTGTAAGAAAAATTTGAATTACTTTTTCCTCAACTTTGACCTCTTCAGAGAATGAACATAGTCATAGAAATTAAAATAAAAAAATTAAAGAATAATGTGTACATGGGACACAGATGCTCCAGCTTGTAAATATATGACAAATTCGTCAATTTTTATGTTTCAAAAGGGACATAACTCGAGAACAGTGAAAGTGACTCATCCAAATTCAACTTGACCTGTGTTTGGTTGTAATTAGCATTGTGTAAAAATTTCATAACATTTGGTTGAGGCAAGTTAAGTTAGAACGTGTAAACAGCAAATTCAGCAATTTTTCCATTTTAAAGGTACCTAACTCGAGAATGGTGAAAGTAACTCCACCCAAATTTGACCTTGACCTGAATTTGGTGGTAATTAGCATTGTGTGTAAGTTTCATAATTTGGTTGTGGAAAACTCGAGAATGGTGAAAGTAACTCCACCCAAATTTGACCTTGATCTGAATTTGGTGGTAATAAGCATTGTAAGTAAGTTTCATAACATTTGGTTGGGGGAAACTAAAGTTATAGAACAGAAACAAATTTCAGGACATACTTACCGACAGAAGGACGGACAGACAAGAGTAAACTTAATGGGCCCATAACCAAGCAGCAGGGGCATAAAAATTGTACTGGATTCTGCAGAACCCATTGTTGCCAAGGCGGGACAAAAATACCTTATATTTTCTGGTCCTTTAAATTACATTACAAATATTGAATTTTAGTAAAAAAAGTTGTTTTTTTTTAAATTGAAACTTTTCTTTCAAAGGAGCCTAGAGCTTAGATTAAAAAATCATTTCATTCAATATTTACAAGCTTTTACAGAAATAATAAATGATGTAATACTCTCTTCTCCTGGGGATAAAAACTGAAGTTGTGTTACAATCATGCAGTCTGTCTATAAATATTAACTCAAAATTTTATTGTCAAGACATATGTTTGGTCTTTTTTTCTGCATTGATCTGCTGAATAATTCATTACCTTGATTGTGAATTAGAATTTCATGCTTTTCGTAATCAACCATAAAAGCAGATATGATAGTGGATGTACATACATGTTTCATATTAATATTCCATGGAAAATCATGTAGTAATAAAACTGAGATGTCCTTACACTGACAGATAATATGTAACAATTAAGATTGTCTTTTTGAAACAGGTGGTGATAAAACATGCATAACACAACTAGCTTGTGTGATTATTCTCAAAACACTAATTAATAAGAACTGTGTAACATCCCTTTGATTAATAAGAAAATGGTGGGCACATTTGCTAGAGGTAAATGTAAAACATTCTTGAAATAAGACTCAGAAAATATTGAAAAATATATTAATGAGTGTTTCTCCTTTAATAACCATAAATTTTCAATCGAATAATAGAGCTCTGGAGACGTATCTTAGCTTTTAAAGCATATTAGTCTGACAACTAAGAAAAGCAGAACAAACCCTTTTTTAGGACTTTTTCCCACTTTTAATATATTTCACTTAAATTGAAGCCAATATTTAAATGTACCTTTTTGTTTATTGACTCGACTACGAGGTGGTGGTCTGTTTTGATTTTGATAATGGCCCTCTTCCAGCCTCTGTAGGTATTTTCTCTGTATTTTCTCCCTCTGCCTACTTGCTCTGCCTTCCATTGAATTTGGCCTTGTTGGTCCTGTAAAAAAGAAAATGTTTCAAACATCTTATTTCATTATCTTTTATAAATGAATTTTTTAAGTGTTATGCCAAATTTTTAACCATACTGTTCCTGGTGTTATGCTAAATTATAGTTTTGTATTATAATTAAATCAATGCATTCAATATTCCTTGTTCCTTGGAATTGTGGTCAACCAAAGAATCAATGTTGTCAATTTACAAGACAATTCTTTGGTCCATGTATCTATCATGTAAGTCAATTATAACAAGTGATAAATTTTGACAACAAAGATTTTTTTATGAAAGTAAGTCTCAGGAATTTCAGCCCAAGTGGATAAATATTAAATCTTGTATTGGAGCAAGTATTTAAGATTTTGTTAATAGTTGTGTCTTCTGAGTAGATCAGCAATAAAACCGTGCACAATTTTTCAGAAGAACAATTTCAATTGGACTACATGTATTTGTCACATCTCTACCTAAATTAGTCATCCTTTATTCAAACAAAAACAAAATAAAATGTGGTAAAGAGTACTAGTGTTGCAATAATGGTATAAATACAGGTAGTTAAACAATTAGATAGGTCAATTAATCGACCAAAAGAATTGTGTTATTAAATCGAAATCTACTTCACAACCATTTCTTGTGAATCTTTCAGAATATCCAATAAACATAAGAAACCTTTTAAGTTCAACTGACAATCACAGATTTAAACCAAAACAAACTTTACTTTAGATACATGATCATTTTACAGGTAAAAGACATGTCTGTTGATCAAAGACAAACCTTTGAGAGATCAAAGCTAAACAGCAGGTAAATTAAAGTCAAGTTAGGATTGACACACCCTACTCTAAAGCTCACAGAACATTAAAAGTCAGTCTCTGAAATCTTATACCTATACTTATCTATTTGAGAATGTTGGTTTCACCATCTGATCAGCTGATTGATGATCTGTCTTTAACCAGATTTATCTACAGGTGTGTTAGATCAATCTAAAGGATATTTACATTTTCCATGATGTTAAATTACTTTTAAAATAAGAAGGTAAAAAAGGTATCCATATGCCAATGTCTAATACAGCTGTACTGAATATAAAGTCAACAACCAACATTAACATTTTTTAATCCTCAGTAGTTTAGAAACCCAAGATACATGTACCATCAAATAAAGACACACTGAAAGGATCATCATTATACAACCTCCACATGCAAAAAATAGCAAATCTAAATTAACAAAAAAGTCCAAACAAGAGATCCTTTTGGTGACTGAAAGGCATGGGTAAAAATTATATGCTCGGCTACACAAGGGGCATTGCAAGAAAAATGTAAACTAGTAAATATGCATCAAGAGACCAAATTGATCTACCTTTGTGATAAAATCAATTTTAACTTTTTCAACAAGTTTTAAAAATAGGTATAATAGTTTTCCGAAAGTTTAAACTTGTAAAATGAAGCACATGACCACTGCTTTAATTCTGCTACTTATTATGTCAACATTTTTTTTTTCTAAATGAAAAAAATTATGTTCAATATGAAAAAGAAATGCAAGTTTTTTTTTTTTTTTATATATTTGTATATCATTTATGATACTTCTTCATTCATCCCTATTTTTACCTTTTTTCTGTATTGCAATCATTTGACAGACACTGCAGTTCGCCAGGGTCTCCCTATATATCTATAATCTATATAAACCCATAAACTGAATTCCCAGCTCATATAAACAACAATTTTGCTTTACAAATTGTTACCTATACCTTGTATGATCTGGATTTTATACTATAATTTCAGAAGTTTCCTTTTTTTTTTATTGCGATTTTTCTAGAATGGACAAAATTCAAGATTAATTATTGTGATTTCAGTAAATGCAGCATACAAGTAATGCTATGAAAATTTTAAAACACAAGTTTTGTGATAATGAAAACATTGCAAAACTTTCTGAATTTTACAATATCTAAAATTTTTATTGTTATTTGTTATAGCCCCCCCCTAAGGTCCATGATTGGCATTCTAAAAAATTTATTTTTTGATTTGATTATATTTAAAGGAGTCAACCAGTATCAATTTTTCTATTTGGATTGTGACAGTTGGGTTGTTTTTTTTTTTTAAGTCAGATGAGTTTGGACACATCTCTGTGGTTCCAAAAGAATCATTTCCTTACAAGCTTGATAGTGCCAAAAGGGAAGAGTTGTGTATGGAAGAAGTACTTGCCTCTAGCTTCAATAACAAAAGTCTGTCTAAAATGTTATCAATGTAGTGGCATCTTTGAATGAACTGTCAAACATTAAAACAATAAATCCAGATAATGGATAATGAACAACTTTAGGCAGAACTAAACATCTGTTAATTGAAACCAACTGGATCTCATCCAAAGATCATACACCTCTCCCGAAAATGTTTCACTGGGTCACAATTGTTAATAAAGCTGACATACTAACATGTATTTCAGCTGCACTCACAAATAAATAGTAGGGAAATAAGTGCTGTTGGAAAATTAGTTATTCTACAATGATCAATATCAAATTTTGGCCACCAATGATCCATTACTTTTCTCTTTTTTTATACTGTTTCAAGGAAAATTCTAGATGACCAGGGCACACAGCATATAAACCAGTTAGATTCTATTCCAATGAAAAAATGCCTGAACTGAGATTATAGATTATTCAATTATATCTACGCCAAAAAAAAAAGGTGAGAAGTGAAGATTGAAAGATCACATGTTCTTGTAACTTTTTTTTAACAAATAAAAAATATGTATGATGATGCAGGTGCTTTTGATGAGCTCTCGGAGATTATTGTTTATTAAGAAGCAGATTTTGCATGTGTATTGTACTTGTCGTCATACTTTTAAGCAATTAAATTATATATACAAATTTGTAACATTGTGTTATCATATGTAATCAATTACAAATTTGCAGGATATTATAAGCTCCTGTATCAAATTTTACGAAAAATTCAAAAACAAAACAAACCAGAAAAGTAAATTACCACTGCCATTTTGTTGAATTTTTTTCATGGCCATAGTAAACCAAAATTGACCCTTCTACCATTTATGCTTCGGGAGCAAAGTAAGTGTCTGAAATTTAAGTGTTTCTCCCTGCTTAATTTTCTACTAGAGACTAGAGTTAAGCAAGCTTTTTAAGAAGTTCAAGAATGCTGCAGTCTCCTGCTTTGGCCTTCCTCATCAGTGCTCTTAGATGGAGTTCAAAGGATTTTATACAAACATGATTTTACCAGAAACATGATGCTTTACAAAATCAATCAAGACTCTTTTCAAGCTAGCAGAAGAAATTTCCCACCATATGCTGCTAAAGTGAAAGTCAATATATATTCAGCAGCACTTTATTCAACACAAAGCAAGCTTTGTCAGTTAATCAATTTTAAGCATTCATAAATGTGTCTACCTGTCACCTTTATTGCAAAGGTCACCAGACTGTTTTAGAATTAAAACTGCTGATGTGTCAAACTGAAAGTTGTTGTGTATTCCCTCCAGATACAGGAAGTTACATCACAGAATTGGACCTTCTGTACCTCCACATAGAAGATCTCCTAACACCTGTGACACAAAGTTCACTTGGTACAGGTGGAAAAGATATACACTGATCCCAGTTGACAAAAGAATTAAATTTAAATACCTGACCACAATCGTGACTGCTACAGACTAACAAAAAGGTCAAAAACTGTGTTGACAATATCATGTGCTAAAGATATAAACTATGCAGGAATGTGTAAAATGAATTTTTAAGAAACTTGTTTATTCATTCATGCATACCTTAATCTATTATTGCAAAAAAGTTTAATATTTATACTTTTCAATATATTTCAACCAATTGACTATGCAATTTATAAAGATGAATACATGGCACTAGGGGGCAAATATCTTGAAAATAAATAACAATGTACTTCTGTCATAAATATATGCAAATTATTCAAAACAAAATCTTTATAAGAAATCTAAGGGAGCTACCATTTGATTTTTATGGGGGGCTAGGATGAAAAATTTTGTCCTGCATTTTTTTTTTTAGTTGTAATCTCTGTCCTGCCTTTTTATTTTTCACTCTATTCGGTCCTGCCTTTTTTTTTATTAGTTTATCCTGACTTTTTTTACATAAATTGTCATCCTGCCTTTTTTTTTTTGCCAAGTTGCTCATCCTACCTTTCATGTTTTTCTTTAACTCAAAACTCCTGTCCTGCCTTTTTTTTTCAAATTACATCCTAGCCCCCCCCCCCCCCATAAAAATCAAATGGTAGCTCCCTAACTGAATCAAATAGCTGATTATAAATGGGCACCAAAAGGATCATGATGCATCTGATCAACTGCAGTATATCTCAAATACTCTTCTATTCCAGTATTAACAGCTGCTAATTATGTGTTTCCCTCCAGGTTTGAATAAGTTGAACAATGTACTGTTAATTCAATAAACTGTTAACACAGAGATATGTCTCGCCTATTTGTTATTTTGATAATGCAAATGTTGAAATTAAAATAGCAATACTTTAACATGTAAGTTATGCAAATATTCAAAGTCAATGAACCATGACTGAAGGTACAGGGCTAAACAATCTCCATGGAAATGAGATGTGCCAATGCTAATACAACTGCAAACCAAATACCATTGACTTTTCATAAGTCGTTCCCTTTAAACAAACCTAAACACAAACATCAACTTGTAAACTATGTAAAAGTTTCAAAGTCAATGAACCATAATTAGGGGGTGGGGTTATATAATCTCCATGGAAATGAAACTTGCAAATGCCAATACACAGTGTTCCAGCTAGGTCGTTTTCACAGGGCGGTCCGCCCGCCCTTTCCCGAGTGCCGCCCTGTGCCCTTTTTAAGACGCCCTCCTTTTTCGTAAGTCCATGCCTTTATTGCCGTAATATTTTGATGAAAATACAATTATTCTACCTGTCTTCATATTTATGACAAGTTTATTACCCTCAGCTAATTAACATTTACAGCAGGTCTAATTATTTGTGATTACAGATAATCCGCTTATCAACATCGGATAGGTCATTAATCCTTTAATTAAACTTCATAATTGACCATTGTAATAATTTTTCTCATTTAATTCGGGCAGTCAGCATTTCAATTTCAATACTTCTCAAAAGATGACTACTTGCGTTTGATGTATCCGTAGATCGTCTGTTGTTATGTCAAATTTTTTTTTTTAAATTGATCTTTTAAACTAGTTTTAATGCAGAAGAAAGTAAAAACAATCCTTGACTGTACCTTTCATTGAATATCTATATCCAAATTAAATTAATTAAAGCTGTAATCCATGATCACAAATTGACTGCTTTGTTTACATTTGTTGAAAGCCATGTGCTTTTTTGGCAGGAAAATTCGGAAAACCCCTTTAACAAGAAACAGTTACATTTCATTGTTATTTATAGACAGTAAGATTTTCATTTTGATTAGGGGTGTGAAAAATGTAAAAAAAAAAAAAAAGGGGGGGGGGGGAATTTTTTTATATATTTTTATATATAATATTACAAATATAAGTTTAACAGTCTGAAAAGACATGGTTAAATGGATTTTAATTCTGAAAAACTCAATGTGGTTTATTATAATTCATTTATTATTTCTATCATAATCAGAAACACTGGGCTACATGTATTAGGCATTTCAAACATATATTATTGTCTATTGATAAGACTATTAATAAATATGTACCTGTAGTAAAAATACACTGGTAGGGCCTTAAAATTTCTACTGGGCCCTTGGAAAAAGTTTTGGGATCCAGGTTGGCCCCTGGAGAAAATGTAAGGTATTGTTCCTGACTATTGCAGATCTAGTGTAGTATTTTAACTGACATGCACAATTCATTTCACTAATGAAATAGAAATAATTCTACAAAATGCCGCTGCGCTCTGCATTGCAACTTAACCTTAGACCTACCATGCATCAAAAATGTTCTAGGGAAGACTGAGCTAGTAATATACATCCTTGCATGGTCCCTTTAATACTGTTACCCAAAATAAGGTTGATTTTCATCTAGCGTAGAAGTGACTATACCCCCTCAAAACTCCTAGCTGAAACCCCTGCAGTTAATATAAGACAATGTTTGACATGCCCTTTTTGAAATATCAATTATCATGCTAAAGTGCCCTTTTCAGGATTGGCTCCCTGCCCTTTTGAAATCCTAGCTGGAACACTGAATACATTTGCATACCGAATATCATTGACTTCACATTAGTGGTTCATCTTAAACTGAACTAATCACAAACTAATACATGTAAACTAAGCAAAAGTTTCAAAGTCAATAGACCATGACTGAGGGGTAAGGACCAAATATTCTCCATAAATGAGATGTGCTAATGCTTATACAACTGCATACCAATTATCATTGACCTACCCCTAACGGTTCCCCTTAAACTGACCTAATCACAAACTAATACATGAAAACTAAGCAAAAGTTTCAAAGTCAATAGACCATGAATGAGGGGGTGGGGCCAAATAATCTCCATGCAAATGCTTATACAACTGCATACCAAATATCATTGACCTACCACTAGTGGTTCCCCATAAACTGACCTAATCACAAACTAATACATGTAAACTAAGCAAAGTTTCAAAGTCAATAGACCTTGACTGAGGGGGCGGGGCCAAATAATCTCCATGGTAATGAGATGTGCCAATGCTAATACAACTGCATACCAAATATCATTGACCTACCACTAGTGGTTCACCATGAACTAGACCTAATCACGAACTAATACATTGTTGACGCCGCCGCCGGAAACAGCATACCTTTCTGGCTTTTTGACTCCGTCAAGGCGAGACAAAAATACACTCGCCTGCCTGAAGCAGCTGGATACGACCACAGAGGTTGAACTCTGAACAGTTGGGGCAAGTATGAACACAATATTCAAGCTTGATACAGCTCTGAATTTGGATAGTGATTAAATATTTGACACAGAATAAATGTGGTCACGGGTCAGATAACTAAAAAATTTGAAAAGGGACATTTAATCTTCTTAATGGTCCAATATCCAAAATCTAATTCCATGGTTAGATTCAGCATATAAAAAAAAAACCATGAATTCAAACAAAGTTTAATTTTGGACACTTTGGACCTTAATATTAACTAATTTGAAAACAGGGTTCAAAATTAAAAATCTGAATGCACAGTTAGATTCAGCATATCATAGAACCACAAGAATTAAGTTTTTGATGAAATCAAACAGTCTAATTTTGGACCCTTTGGACCTCAATGTAGACTTATTTAAAAATGTCCAAATATCCAATATAGTAATACATGGTAAAAACCTCAAACAATTCAAGACTTTAAATTAATCTTCATTGAAATTGGTTAAAATATTTGTATTTATTTTCAATTGAAGATTTCTTGCTGTTGTGCAATACTTTGCTGTTGCGCAATACTTAGTAAATCTGTTTACAAACTAAATATAATAATGTACACACCCTGTTTGGTGTGTATCTCCTGCCATATCAGTATTTGTTGTTTCTTTATATAGATCAGAAATAATTTATGTTAGAACCAGCTTAGCCAGTATTAGAAAAGTCTTGTTTTTGGCCCCTATTTGGCCTCTAGTTTCTTAACGATTAAAGACCCACAAAATCACCCCCAACCTTCTGTGTGTGGTATGGAATTTCATTGAGCTCCATTGACTAATACTTAAGTATTTGTCTGGAAACCAGAAAAACCTTGTTTTTCCCACTTTTTTTGCCCCTAATTCCTGAATGGTTTGGGCCATAACCCCCAAAGTTAATCCAAACCTTCCTTTGTGGTATGGAACCTTGTGGTACAATTTCATAGAGATCCATACACTTATACACAAGTTATTGTCCGGAAACTGGAAAAATGCCTTTTTTGGCCCCTTTTTAACCCCTAATTCCTAAACAGTTGGGACCATAGCCCCAAAATCAATACCAACCTTCCTTTTGTGCTATTGAACCTTGTGGTTAAATTTCATAGAGATCCATTTGCTTATGCTAAAGTTATTGTCCGGAAACCAAATGTCTTCAGACAACAACGACAATATGATAGCAATATACGAACTTTTTTGCGGTCGTATAAAAATTATTGCAATGTTTTTATTAATGCGAAAAATGCAACAGTTTCAAGTTCGCAATAATAAAACTCACATTCATAATTTCAGTGGTGATTTTCCTTCATAAAATTTTTGCAATTACATTAATTAGATTTCGCATTTTTGTCAGAGTACTAGGATTTGAATTAATGAATGCATTTATTTCTGAAATTACAGTGTTCCATGGTACCAAGTTGAAATCACATGTAAGAACCCATGTTGAACAGAAACAATGTTATTACCTTGAGAGTGAACTGGTCCACTGGGATGACTGTTACAACTGTTCTGTGGTGGTGGTGGTGGTGGTGGTGTCCCATGGGTAGGGCCACTAGGATGTATGTGTGATGGATGTTGGGTGGGATGATGATGAGGAGGATATGGAGGTGTTGGGTAGTGTGGTCCGTATGGATAATACTGAGGTGCTGTGTTGTTGGGTCCCTGAAAAAAATAACAAAACAAATTAGTTCAAAATATAAATCATTCAATTTTAAGAAAATTCAAACATTTGGCACATGTTTATAAAAAGGAAGACAACTGATTCACCCAAAACATTTTTTTTTTAAACAATTGTCTCAGCATTCCCATGTAAGACCTGATTTCTCAGTTTTTTGTTGTTGTTTTTTGTATATCTATATAATGCTGTATGCCTGGATTGCCTGCCTCAGGTCTTAACCTCCAATTTTTTTTGTTTGTCATTATTATTACCTCGTCTAACACCTCATAGTTGCATTTTACTTTTTAAATAAAAATGTCAAATTATTGTTGTAAGATATAAATAGCATCCATTGAGCATGCATTGGTAGTGTAAACTCCACTATATCAGGTTTTTTTTATAAGTTCTGTTATTACTATCGAAAAAAAAAAATCATTACTTGGATATAGTTTCATTAACTCCTCCTCTACGTGTTAATTTCACATACAACACTGACATTACAAATACACAAGTGCAATTACTATTTACATGTATGTAAGTTCATAATTTCATAATTTATCATTAAACTAAAACATGCATACTCCATAACTGTATATAAATATCTATTTAAAGCACTTATGATACAGACAGCAGTTTAGATACACCAAAGCCACGTACATATATATATGTATATATATATAGGGGCTACATATACATTAAGACTCTGGGCTACAAAATTGAATTCTTTTCTCATCAAAGGGGGTGATAATTGCAGGCCAATAATCCAGATAACTTTGACAATTTATTGTGTCCAGTGGCTATGAAGGTTTTACATATGATATAGGTACACATGTACTTGGATTCTAAATTCTGACTGTACAGCTCAATTATCACAGTTTGCTTCTTTATTTTATCCATACAAACATTGTAGTAATTACACCTAATGAGTACTTGAATAACTAAATAAAAATTGGGCTGTCTCCAAAACTTGAAAATCAGAATACCAACCCTTCTAATGCCCTACCCTGGTCATAATGTTAGAGATGGTAGATTTTGCTAAAACCGCCACATTTTTTATGAGTCCGTCCCAATTCAGGAGCCTGTAATTCAGTGGTTGCCATTTGTTGCTGTCTGCCATTTTTGTTTTTTTGTTTAAAAGATTAAAGTATTAATCAGGCCATTTGGTTTTCTCTTTTGGTTTGTTTTACAATTTTGCTATTCTGAGGCCTTTTATAGCTTACTATACTGTATAGGTTTTCTCTTGTTGAAAGAGTACAGTAACCTATATAGTTGTTAACATCCAAACCCGTTTTTTTTTCTGGTGGATAGTTGTTTCATTGGCAATTATACCGCATCTCCTTATTTTCATATATCTCCTTATTTTATTTTATAGTTAAAGAACAAAAGTTGAATCTCATAATTACACAAAAGTTTATAATGCATATATATATATATATAAATTTAATAATTGAGACTGCATTACGTTCTTCAGTATATTTTGAACACAAATAAATATCTTTTCTTGAATGGCCTTGAAGTGAAGTGGAAATTCCAGACAAATCTATAAGCCTGACTGAGATTTTACCAAGATTTAGAAGATTACATAAATATTGGAACATTCTTTATTCTGTGAAAACCAAATTACATAACCAGACAGCACTGCAAGTGGTTAACATGCTAATGTCTGCCGCATGGTGTTTACAAACAGAACCTTCCTAGGGAGCAACATTCAATTCCTGTCTTAACAATTTGCAAATGCATTTTGGTCTGAAATCTGAGGAAGCAGTGCTCTAGTATTGACATTTCCAGTAACTTGTGAATTTGTAAATTTTAGACACAAGAAAGTACAATATTGAGACACTATTTCTCAATTGGCAATGAAAAATTGATTTTAGACAATGTATCATATTTCAACTCAACTGGTAATTGAAGACTAAAATAGGACACTTCTTTAACCCCTCCTAAGGAGGAATATGCCCCAACAAGGAATGTAAAGACTAGACTTATTCTGGTGGGTCTAAACTGGAGGACACAGGGTTAATCCTGATACAAGAAAAAAAGGGAACTAAAAATTAAGTCAAATTGTCATGTGGGAAAGTTTTTTTTTTTGTCAAACCTTTACATTGGAAAGTTTGAAGACTGAAAGATTCTAGAGCACTAGTGTAGTGGGTGGCTGTGGGTTGATATGGATTGGGCTTCACCTTTGAAAAAAAGAAAATTTGGGAAGATGGTGGATTTCATTGCACTCTTAGTTCACAATAACAGGAGTAAGGATACTAGTACTATCTAAGATACAATGAAATAGCCTCAACTCAATTCTATGTTACTCTTTTCTCACTTTGAAATGAGACAAATAGTTTCAAACTTCCAAGCAATTACAACACACAAACATTCAATACATTTACACAAAGACAACTACATCTTCCTTTATCCTGTATATAATTTAAGAGCACTGTGAGATGGTCTATGTGGTTACATTCATAAAGACAAAATATCATATGATACATATTAAGTATACCTCTTCTCTGCCATAACAAACAAATACATGTATACCAGCAGACACAGCATCATTCTCAACCAGGCACATGCATGTTCAATAAAGCTAGGCATTTCCCAGCATTCCAAGGTCTGCAAATGAGGGTGGGAAGGGAGAAAAACAATAAATACATACATAATATCCTACCGTCATTGGTTGATTGGGCATGCCCGGTGGATTTGGTGATAAGATGACATGGGTTAGGATCCCATGTTCGTCAACAATCTGTTGAACCATGTGACCAGGTGGCACCTGCATGGGCATGGGTAATGGAGGCCCGTTATTAGATACCATTCTTACTGTAGCAGGACCTGCAATAAGAAAAATTATCTTCTAAAAACATAAATCGTGTGACAGGGTTCTTGTAAAATTGAATTCTATAGATCATGGTATTTTCTGTTATTCTTTGATTTATTATTTTGATTGCTCTTGCATACATGTATATACATATATAGTGCAATAGCAGGCTTTAGAAGCAACTCAACTCTCATTGCTCCACATTACTTACATGGACAGCTATCATTATACACATGACATTTCCATTGTCAATTATGATTTGGCTTAATGAAATTATTAATACATCAAGTTGCAAAACTAAATATTTACACACAAAAAAATATTTCAAAACTGTGACCAGCACAAACAATAAACCCTCTTAATGTAGAGGTGCATTGAAAACTAACTGGGAAAATAAATATAACAAAATATTGTGACAATTAAATTAATGTTCAATTAGTCAGTCAAAATAATAAAAAAGGAAAAATTGTGTTTCTTACTTACTATGAAAAATTTATATTTGAACAATAAAACAATAGATGTTCAATAAATGAATGAGTTTTAATCCATCCTAAAAGTGTTCTACTTACTGAACAAACAAAAAATATGTAACTTATGTTTTAACCTGGAGGGGACTAAATAGTCAAGACACAAATAGTCATGTAATAGCTATTTTATACAGAGACATACAAATCCATTTCTTACTGGTTGACATTAATATTTGTCTATAAAGGATACTATAATCAGTTATATAATTCACTTATCATATTTCATAAATACTTAATCTATGTTTTATCTATAATTTAAATATAATTTAATTTCTAGATGGATGAATAATATGGAGATAGTTTAAATTCCTCTTGGGGGATCTCAAATCAATATTTTTTTTTAAACAACTTGATGCCAATTTAGTTTTCATAAATTATATATGGTTTCTTTTTTCTTGGTGACAAACTTTTGAACATTTTTATCTGATTGCAATATACAGAAATTAAAAGTATTTTATAGCTGCGTCTCATCTCATGATCCCATCTGGGCCTTCAGATCAAATGACTTTTATAGACTTACTCATGATAATATACATAATGAATTGCCAGAAACTATATTATTATGGTCATTTTCATGTAACCATGATGCAGCATTTTATGTGTCCCGAAAGCATATCCTGATTTTCTATAACAACTGTTAATAGTTATTTTTAGTCATACTGTGGATTCGTTATTATTTGTTGGGTACCAGTTTTCGTGGATTTCGTAGGTACAGATGAACCACAAATCAAATGTTCAAAGAATTATACATTTCTCACAGGATTCTGTGCAAACTTTGGCAAAACCATGAAATCAAGTATTAACAAAAATGTTTTTTTTTTCTTCAATCCACGATAATAGGTAGCCACAAAAATAAAATGAATCCACAGTATTTAAATATGGACAGGTTCAAGATTTGGAAAACCTTGACAACCTGATCAGATTTAAATATGACTGAGCAACAGAAAAAAACCTGTCATGAAGTTTTACATTTCAAAAATTTTCAATTCAATGTAATGAGAAACTTTGTTAGTGGTGGGGGAGGAGAGATGGTTGCAAATTAAAGGGCTTGATAATAAAAAAATATCAATTTATTCATTTATATGAAAATCATAATTTTTCTTGATTGATGAATATTTTTCATAAGAATTTTTTTTTAAATCAGTTGTTGGTATTTTTTAACAACCAACATTTACATTCTGTTTAGCTCGGAGAATATTTAAAGTCTTCCCTTTTCACAGAAAACGATTGATTATAGTACCTAATTGCTGGAACATCAGACTTATAACGATGTCAAATGACATTTCCTCTATCATTTATTTGATCTATAATAGTCACTTATTTCATAACCAACTGTTTTATAATCAGTCATTGTATTTCTAAATCAATCGGGGAATAAAAGGAGGTCAGACGTCTCGCCAAGGTGATTGGCAAATTCTCCATCTTCCATTAAATATATCCAACCTTTGATTGAGATTAAGTTCTTGTATAGTTCACAAAATAATCTAAAATTGTCTTACTCAGTTACTGTTGTGCAAGTGATGCATTCTATCATCAGGGTAAAAGAAAAAAGTTACAAAACATCTATAAAATAACAGACTTTCAAGCAACTATGAAAATGCTGACAACACATAATATCACGATATCAATATGTGATTGTGTGTAAAAATAGCAGCAAAACTTGTAGTAATCAAAGCGCGAAAGCGCTGTAAAGGCAGTTAATTACAGGTTGTGTGTATTTTTAGTCCAGTTATATCATTATCTTGCATAGTACAGTGTACTTATCAGAGGTGGCTTTCAGTATTTAAGATTTAGAGTTCTCTAATGATATTGAACAAGTTTTATGAATGTCATATTCTGAGCACTATATGAAGGCGTTTGTTCTCACTTGTTTATGAACTTGTGCATTATATCCAGTTTGTACCTTTTTTATCTATGTTTATAGTCAAATTAGTTATCAAAGGTACCAGGATTATAATTTAATACGCAAGACTCGCGTTTCGTCTACATAAGACTCATCAGTGACGCTCAGATCAAAATAGTTATAAAGCCAAACAAGTACAAAGTTGAAGAGCATTGAGGACCCAAAATTCCAAAAAATTGTGCCAAATACGGCTAAGGTAATCTATTCCTTGGATAAGAAAATCCTAAGTTTTTCGAAAAATTCAAAGTTTTGTAACAGGAAGTTTATAAAAATGACCATATAATTGATATTCAAATACTGTTTAAAATAGTTAGGCATTTTCTTTTTAGAAATAAGTAAATGTTATCAACTGTATTTTATTCAACTCTGCAAATGTGGTTTGTTACTGGTAAGTATGGATGATAGTTGTTTCATTGGCAATCATAACACATCTCCTTATTTATATAATGATCTATATTCAACGACCTCAGGTACAAAAAAAATGTATGTAACTAAACTGTGATGGGAAACCTTTGACTTCTTTCTTTTATATAAACTTTTGATTTGGTACCATAGAACTATGTAGAATAAATGTACATTGCAACATGTCAACTCTTTCAATGACAATACTTTTTTAGAAACTATAACTCCAAGCAAAATTATATTTCCAAGTTTAAAGTAATTTATGAATGAAAAAAGGAGTTCTTAATTAAGAAATAAACTGATTCGCTGAGCGCAGCTGGATACACCGCAGAGGTCCAACCCTGAACAATTGGGGCAAAAATGGACACAATATTCAAGCTTGATACAGGTCTGTATTTGGATTGTAATTAAATATTTTACATATTATAGTTTCTGAATAAATGTAGTCAAAGAACTTGAAATCGGTTATATGAATTGAATTTATATTCAATTAAAGATTTCTTGCTGTTGTGCAATAAACTGTGCTGTTGCGCAATACTTAATAAATCTGTTGCCAGACTATAAAGAATAAAGTTCAATTTCTTCTCAATGTCATATTTGAAATTTATGAAAATCTATAGGGAGATTACATCAATAGCTATAAATAATTCACCCAAGTTTCATGCGAACTGCTTAAAGCATTTTTGAGTTGTTGTCCAACAACAGTGCACACGCTGAAATGTCTCGCCTTCTTTACTAATCACTGATATTATGTTGATAGTCCTTAATATAAAGCTTTATTACAACTGTCACATAAACTTAACATTAACCAAGAAAACTAAACATTGACCAATGAACCATGAAAATGAGGTCAAGGTCAGATGAACCATGCCAGGCAGGCATGTACAGCTAACAATTCTTCCATACAACAAATATAGTTGACCTATTGCTTATAGTTTAAGAAAAACAGACCAAAACACAACTAGATACGCCCGCAGAGGTCCAACCCTGAACAGTTGGGGCAAAAATGGACACAATATTCAAGCTTGATTCAGGTCTGAATTTGGATTGTAATTAAATATTTGACATATTATAGGTTTCTGAATAAATGTAGTCAAAGATCTTGAAATTGGTTATATGAATTGAATATGCAATTAAAGATTTCTTGCTGTTGTGCAATACTTAGTAAACCTGTTGTCAGACTATAAACAAATAAAGTTCAATTAATTCTCAATGTCATATTAGAAATTTATGAAAATATAAAGGGAGCTTACAACAATAGATATAAACAATTCACCAAAGTTTCATGAGAATTGGTGACAGCATATTTGAGTTATTGTTCGAAAACTGGAAAATCACCCCTTTTTTAATGAATAAAACCCCATAACTCATAAATGTAAAATGTAAAATTTATAAAATTCTAAAGGGAGCTTACATCAATACATACAAACAATTCACCAAAGTTTCATAAGAATTGCTGTAAGCATTTTAGAGTTTTTGTCCGAAAACTGACAAATCCCCCCTTTTTTTATGAATAAAACCCTGTAACTCGGAAACGTAAAATCTAAAATTTATAAAAATCAAAAGGGAGCTCATGTCAATAGATATAAACAATTCACCACAATTTCTTGCAAGTTGGTGAAAGCATTCTTGACTTATTGTCCGAAAACTGGAAAATCCACCTTTTTTTAATGAATAAAACCCCATAACTCGGAAACGTAAAATCTAAATTTTATAAAAAATGAAAGGGAGCTCACGTCAATAGATATAAACAATTCACCAAAGTTTTATGCAAATTGGTAAAAGCATTTTTGAGTTAATGTCCGACATGTTGACGACGGACTGACAGACCGACAACGGTATACCATAATACGTCCCGTAAACGGGCGTATAAAAACTTAACAGAGCAATGAACTGTGAAAATGAGGTCAAGGTCAAATAAAACCTGCGCGACTGACATAAAATATTTCCATATACCAAATATAGTTGACCTATTGCATATAGTATTAGAAAAAAAGACCAAAACTCAAAATCTGAACTTTGACCACTGAACCATGAAAATGAGGTCACGGTCAAATGAAACCTGCCAGCTAGACATGTACATCTTACAATCATTCCATACACCAAATATAGTAGACCTATTGCATACAGTATAAGAAAAACAGACCAAAACACAAAAACTTAACTATAACTACTGAACCAT